GACACTTAAACGAACGCGCCATCTTGTGGCAACTTTCATAACGATCCCAACGAACATTCCTTTGAGAAGGTTCCTGATACCATCCATCCCTGTGCATTACACTGTTTCGGCGTGTATGTGAACACATTTTGGACTAACAGGGTTTACTAGAATCCCACCACTCCACCACAGAGTCACCGCAGTAGACGTTAGATGAGCGCTGTCGCTCCGCAGCACTTGTTTATATAATTGGATGCTTATCGTGGCAGAATGTTTAATCTTTCATTGCTTCTTAGTTAATGTCATGAATTTCAAAAGAATTCTATTTGTAACCATATGTGTATCTTAAATAACTATTGTCTGGGGAATGTGTCATCAAAATATAAGTCATGACTATACTATGAAGCTGCTTGTGACTATTTATTTTAATCACTTCTTCTATCGAGTAAGTGTTAAAATTACTTTGATATTATGCAGTATTGTAATAGTATTCTGATACGGTCTCCATATATATTCAGAGATATGGAGAGTGCAGCAGGAATTCTGGACATAATGAGGTAATTATTGTGAACATGATAAACCATAACTATTATAATCTAACTGGTTGAATTCATCGTAATTAATTACTGTAAGTAAAAAGATACTACATACCATGATGCATCTGCAAAACAGCCAACTGCATGGAATCCAAATTATGCAGATACACGTGTAAAATTTAATATTCTACATCGTTTTACCTCGACTTCCTAAATTGTTTAGAGTATCATGGTTTCACACCTGGAATATTAGCCTGTTATAGTAGCCAATTTCCACTCTGAATAAGCAATTAAGTAGGCATCAAGTAAATGTGTTTCGTGTGTGTAAAAGACTATCTCTCCGTGCGTTTATTGAAGTTATGATTTGAAAATGTTGTACAAACAGTACTTTAATTGTGATGAGAATCATTATAACTTTTTAATTGCTGAGTTTATTATATTATGGAGGAAATCTTGTAATTTTTACCATGATTTCAAAAGGCTCTCGTTTGAAAATTAGAAGCATGTTAAGCATTTAAAATGATTCTGATGAGATCATCGTACAATAAAACATCCTACCTAATTGCACAGCCTGGAGTAAAATATACAAACTAACTATTGTCAAACCTTGTTGTCTGTGACTTCACCCCATAGGAATGCACAGCTGGAACCTAGCTCTGACACCTACACTGCTCTTCTATGTGGATATGCAGAAAATGGAGATATTGCAAACATTAACAAGGTTAGCAGACTCTATGTTTATTATAGTGCACCTGAATGTTATGTAATAAACTATCATAGCAGGCGATACATATGTACCAATATATAGCCTTCATCTGAACTACATGTTCATGTACTACACTCTTCATGAATTGTAGTCGCCATGAAAATTTTCTTTCGAATTTTATAACGTGTTTTGTAGAAAAAAAAGTGATTGAAATGGAATCAGCATTTAGCTATACCTAATTTCATGTGATCAGAGATGAACATGTTTGATTATTACAGTATTTTAAACTGTAAATGCAGACTCAATGCTCATGTTTTAGCTATCACTAAAAATGGTTGTTGCCTTGAGGTTTCCAGAGGCCCTTTGTACAAAATTTCCTCACATCTTCACAGTATATAGAAGATGCTGAAAAAAGGGCGACGTACCTTGGAGATAAAGATCTACTTGATGTAATGTTCACACTGGCCATTAATGGACATAATGAGCACACCCAAGCTGTATGTATTTATTACGGCTATTAGAATCTGTATTTGTTATTATCATATAAATGTACCTGTCGTTTACTCACAGTGTTTGTGTGTGTGGGTGGGCGTGCGTGCGTGCGTGCGTGCATGCGTGTAAGCATGGGTGTGCATATTTGTGTGTGTAAGTATTTGCCTACCTGTGTGCACCTGTGCGTGGGTGTGCATATCTGTGCATGTGTGCGTGTGTATGTGTGTATGTGTGCGGTGCGGCGATAAATAAAAAAATGTGGCCTTTATGGGTAAGTGGTAGCTTTATAGAGATGGTTTTACTGTAATTGTTACTACCTATCAAAATACAGGTTACTCACGGGGTTAAACTGTAAGCAAAGCTAAGCTGTTTTATTTTTTTTAAATTTAAAATTGCTACTGCTATGAATCTGCCACTGCTCAATATCATTTGCCACCATTGATGAGTTGTTACCATCATGTCTGAACATTACTGTGCTTATCTCGTATGTCTTTCACAACCTAATGAGAGATCTAACTACATGATTCTAACTACTTTCTAACTACTACTAGATGATTCTACTACTACTACTACTACTACTACTACTACTACATGATTCTAACTACTAACTAACTACTTTTTTTTATGTACTCGCCAGCTCATGACTAAGATGAGGAAGGAGACGGGTTTCAACCAGGACGCCTACAACGCTGTGCTGAGTCTGGTCAACGAGGGACAGGACGACGTCGCGTACCAGCTGATGCAGGCGATGACGCGGCCGACACGACCAGACGGCACCGTCGCGCCCGTCGGCTTCTTCTTCTTGAGGCAACTCGTCAAGAACGAGCGCGTGAGTGCGGTTTGTTGTGCACGGTTTCGCACTCCTGAACTTTGCATGTTGGCCGTGCATTTCCTAAGGCCTAAGATAAAATATTGCTTGTTTCCCCTTTACCGACCGACTCGCCAAAACGCCGCTACTCAACACATTTTATTGGCCTATTAAAACAAAACAAAAATTATTTCGTTTCGCAAAAAAAAAAAATCAAATTCATTCCGTAAAAACATATACACAAAACATAATATACAATATACATACACACATCTTGTAAAAACAAAATAAAAAAGATTTTTCACCTACATACCTACTCGGTACCCTGAGAGGCGAGTAGGTAAAGGGGAAACAAACTATTTTTTAAGGGTGGCCTAATGAAAGGGAAATGTACTTGGTAGGCATGGGTGCAGAAGTTACAGACGTGCAACACATACGGGTGTTGATGCAGAAAATTGAGGTGTTGGCGCAGAAAATGGGTAGACACAGGCTTAGCCAATCAGCCATGGCTACAAACATGGAAGTGTTGACGCAGAAAATGGGTAGACACAGGCATAGCCAATCAGCCATAGCTACAAGCATGGGAATTCACAGATACGTAGACGATAAAAGCACAGAGAAGGTGGTGTCCTTTATAGTCCCATCCCCCAGCTAATTCTTGAGCTGAAGCGAACAAAGTTTTCCCTTCAGATTCTCATTTTTTTCCGTACCATCAATTCCTGATTATCCGGCTTACGTAACCGCATCTGTTATGTTGCAACGACCGGCGCAGGACATAAGCTGCTGTTTGCTCTGTTTAGCCCGTTGAGAAGCTGATGTTTGCTCTGTTTAGCCCGTTGAGAAGCTGATGTTTGCTCTGTTTATCCTGTTGAGAAGCTGCTGTTTGCTCTGTTTAGCCCGTTGAGAAGCTGATGGGCATCGCTAACGACATGCAAGCCCGCAAGCTGAACGAGTACGCGCTGAGCAAGGTCACGGAGTGCACGCTGCAGCTGGGGAAGCTTGAGCACGCGCGTGCCTGCCTCGTCGAGATGAAGAGGCAGGGGCTGCCGATGCGCACGCACTACTTCTGGCCGATCCTCGCCGCGTACGGACAGCGCGAGGACGGAGACAACGTCACGGCGACTCTGAAGCTGATGGTCGACATGGAGTGCGCGCCAACGTCGGAGACGTTCACCGACTACGTCCTGCCCTTCCTCTCCGCCGTGCAGCCGCTCGACCTTCTGACGGACATGCAGGTGTGTGTCTCTGATTGTGTGGATTTTGTTGGATGGCTCGCGGGTGTTATCAGCTGTTGAGTCGCGGATAAAACAGGACGTATTATTGTTCCGCATGCCTACGCTTGAGAAGCTCGTAATGTTACGATGAATCAGTACATATTGCAGTCATTGCGGTAGTCGAATTTATCAGATAACAGATGAAGGGATAGGAAAAGGAACAACGTTTCTGTGGTTTTTTTAGTTCATTAATGCTTTGCTATCAGGAACATCGTGTCTTTGAGAAAAAACTAACTAAACTGTTGTTATCATCATCATTATTATATTGTACACCTTATTATAGTTTTTGTTATAATTTTACAGTCTGTATATTATAACCGTGTTACTTTATTACAGGCTATTGGGTGTCAGACGGCTCAAGTTGTCAATGCTCTTGTCATGCATTTGCTGTACCAGAATAAAATAACTGAAGCTGCTGATTTAGGTAAGATGACCTTAGCCATGGGCTGGTCTAAAATGTCTGCTTGCAGGATTAAGGAAGGAAAATCCTTTGATTGAAAGTAGTTAAAGTCGGCATCTTACTTTGTGCTGCAGTCGACATGTTATGTTGCACTGCCGTTGACGTAATGTTGTTGTACAGTTGACGTGTTGCGCTGACTTGCCAGTAACAGGTTATGTTCTGTTACAGTTGACAAGCACCCTGTTCGTGCTCAGTCCATGCGTATTGTCAGACCACTTGCTGCTGCCTACATTCGCTCTGGAGATCTCGATAGTTGTCTGAGGCTGCTTTCCCACATGTGTGAGCACACGGCCGAGAATCGTGAACGTCGCCTAAAATCCGGTGAGGAGGGCTGGTGTCCTATCCCTGTGGTTTTGGAAAGTTGTTCTTATATTGAAGGTGTGGACCTGGAGTCGTGTGATGGGAGGGTTTGGCATTTCAAAGTAAGCGATGGGAGGATGTCTCGAGTCATGTGCTGTGTGTATTGTATGTCTTGAATTGGGAGATGGAAATATTCTTTGTCTCGTGTTCTCGAGGGAATGAGAGTGAGAGCATATGGAATATAAAAAAAGTTACAAAAATAAGTTACTAATCCTGTTATATTGATTTATTTTGAGTTGTTGTTTTTAATTTTTATTGTCAGATCATGCTGGCCAATTCATCCTAGATTATGTACAGCAGAAGAAAGGGGATGGCTTGGATGTATTAGTAACTGCAATGGCTGAGAAGGTAGGCTTTACTATTTACCCTACGTGTTTTTTTTCGGCAGCTGTCTATGCTATTGTTTTTGTTATCCAGATACCGATTAGTAATATGTAATACAGGTAATCATGGTATGTTGTCAGTAAATTGTCAATTCAAGGAACACTGGCAGAAGTCCATCACGTGCTCCATGAGTTTAATTACATATATCTTTGATGGAGTCAATCTGACGTACGTACTTCATTGGGTGTAAAGGTAACGAATAGAAATATCAGCTGTTAAAGGTAGGTTAAGGTAATTGCCACGAATCAATGTTTTTATAGAACTTGAAGATTTCTTCAGCAACTGCAGAGCAGGTTCATGTGATGCTGAAGGGCAATGTGCCAGGAACAGTAGCTCAGGTAAGACTCGAGTAATAGTTATGGAAATGGGATACACTGCCGGTAATGCGATCAAATTCGCTACGAGTTATATTGGTCTATTGTTTTCTACTGCTCACTTGTCTGGTTCCGATCATGTAAAGTGGTTGGTCAACCCATGTGTTCTGCTAGCGTATGATAATGAGCCGAGTTGCTGGTGGACTTGGGTGTCATTGCTCTAGATGTTTGCATGAATCGGGCCATAAAGACCATAGCGCAGCCGAGCTCAGTGCGTTTAAAACAGGACTCTGGTTATGTGGGAAAATGTTTCATCGTACTGTGACATGAAGTAGTGTAAGTTAATGGCTAGTGTTTTGTGAGAGTGAGAAGACATTCCTGTATAAACTATGGTAAATGATGATGCTGATTCAGATGTTCACATGGATGATTTTTTACAGGTGATGGATGGCATGGTGTCGTCGCAGGTTGAGCTCTCGCCAGAAGAAGAACAGTTCAGCTCCTTTATCACACATCCGGTAAGCATGAGAGCAGTGTTAATTTTTTGTAAACAACATTATAGAAAGAAGTAACATTAGTGAAATCTTTACAATTTTCTTATTGCAAAAAATTGATTCCACACATTACAAAAAAAACTATGCAAATATTACTAGTGATGGACAATTATATAACAATACTCTTCTACTGGCATGACAATACCTGTGTGCATTATTCTCAAATTATTTAAATTATTATACAAAGAAGTAATTACAGAATAATCAGTTGTATATAGTAATGAGTAATTATTAATCACCGAGTAAGTCTGTAACCTAACATTATCCGAGGCTGCATAAAGGCTATGCAAAGTTATAGGCTAATGTTTCTGTGTTGAAATTATAGTCATTAGAATTGGAACCTACATATTTATAATTAATCGAGAGTTACAGTGGCTAGGCGCTTGTAATGGAATGCGTCTGCTGTCGTTTGTGCGAGCTTAGCCTAACAAAATTTGTTTTTTTGTGACTTGGCTGCTGCAGAGAGAAATGAACGTCGAAGATCTGGAGAGTCATTTGATCGAGTTGAAGGCGAAGAACATGAACGTACGCGGCGTGATGCGGCACCTGCTTATCCAGCACTGCCGTCTCAAGGTCAGTGTGGGGCATGAGGGAGGGTCAAGGTCAGTGTGGGCGTGAGGGTGGCTCAAGGTCTGTGTGGGCGTGAGGGTGGCTCAAGGGTAGTGTGGGTGTTAGGGAGGGTCAAGGTTGGTGACCGTGACCGAGGGTCAAGTTCGGTGACTGTGAGGTTGGGTCAAAGTTGTGACCGTGATGGAGGGTCAAGTTCAGTGACTGTGAGGTTGGGTCAAGGTTGATGTCTATAAGGTTGGTCAAGGTTGGTGGCTATAAGGTTGGGCTAAGGTTTGGTCAAGGTCAGTAACTGTAGGTTGACCCAAGGTTGGTGGCTGTGAGGGTGGATCAAGGTGGCTGGCTGTAAGCGTGCTTGTATATATATGTCATAACAACAACAACATTTCAGATGCTAGCCCACCAAGTGTGTGGAAAAGCAAGCAAAAGACAGCCCGTGAGCGAGAGCGGGAGTGGGAGAGGAGTATAATAGAAGCGCGCATGCGCAAGCGAGTGAGTGAGAGAGTGGGAGAACGAGAGGGAGATGGAAGAAGTTCAAATGAAATAAAGAATTGGTTAACTGGCCACAGTAAGTGTTTAAGTTATAGTTGAGAATCCTGCTTGGTTAAAATGAAAACACCATATTTAGCTATAAGGAAATATCAGATTGCAGTTTACCCTTCTGTTACTGCTTTTCTGTAGAACAAAGAGAGAGCTTTGGAGATCAAGAAAGAACTGGACCTGGAAGGTTTCCGGTACTCTGTGGGAATGTACGCAGTGTTGATGGATCTAGCCGTCTCTACAAAAGATCTCCCACTGGCTCTGCAGTACAAAGGTCAAATGTAAGGCAAAACACAATTGCAATTATACAAATACATTAAATTTGTAGAGAACGAATACCTTTGACCGTATAACGAAAATTCTTTTTGAGCTCAGTCAAATAAGGATGATTACTGGTTACAATTATTGCTTCTATTCGTGGTGGACAGTAATTTACTATTAGGTGTGGCTACTAAAATGATGGCTTGAGTATATATTCTATTTTTCAGGGATATGGATGCCACTGACTTCATCATTGATTCACACAAGATTATTAACTTGGGTGGCCTGATGCTAGAAAATGATAAAATGTCAGGTAAGACTTGTCATGTATTCATTGTGAAGGTAGTCAGTGGTGAGTGGGTTAAGTTTGTCCCTGATGTAATAGGCACTGATAGGTCTATGGAAAAAATTTCATATCCCATCAACAGGGTTCTTCCCCATGAACTTCAGAAGGCATGTAAGACAATCAGACAGTTCATTCCCATTGCTAACTGAAGTTAGTTACAAGTGCTGCAGGCGACTCCAGCACACACTTAAACTCGATCTGTGCAGGAGCGTATACTTCAAGTTTTAAATACACAGCATGACTGTTGGGATTGTCCAACTTAAACACAGGTGGAAATCAACCCATGTCGATTAGGTCATGGCAGAGGATTTATGTGATGGCTCAAATTAAATTCAGTTTTAAAGGCATGTCTGACTCGGCATGTGTTACCAGCCTGGGGAGACCCTGTATTGCAATGCATAATTATTTATATGTTAACATTTCATCAGATTAGATGTCGTATTGTTAAAAATGAAATAACAAAGACTTCCTCCAGCTTTTATTACACACACTGGAGAAATGCTCAGTTTAGATCAACTGTAGAGCAAACCTCGAGGGAAGTGTTGCATTGATCCCATGATTACAACTTGGCTGCACCTCTTGGTCTGTGAAACTGGACAGGAGAGACGTTTCTGCCCACCATCTCTTGTTGGGCACGTTAAGCTTCTTCGGCATTGTACTGCAAGGTCGGCATATGTTTCGATAGCTCAGAGTATGATCGTAACGTCACGCACGAACTCTGCTATCTCCAAAGGTGAATGCAGAAACCCTAGAACTGATTACTATCAGAATATATTATACATTCAGAACATCCTATACAGAACTATTAGTGTTCTATTGTCTCTGGGCTGTATGCATTCACCTTTGGAGACAGCCGAGTTTGTGCGTGACGTCATGATCATACTCTGAGCTATCGAAACGTATGCTGACCTGACTGCATACTTCCTTTCTAACTTGTCGATGGCTGGTGTTGCAGATGCAATGCAGCTGCTGGTGGAGCACAGCGAGAAGCGGGGTGACGCGCCCATCAAGGAGGCACTGTCCGGAAACGCGTGGCGGCTGCTGAATGTGCAGGCGATGCGAGGCGACGTCCAGGGCACGCAGGCTCTGCTGGAGCTGCTCATCAGCCGTGGATACGTTCAGCCGTCCAACATGCTCATGGGCTGCCCCATCAAGGCTCATCTTGTCAAGTGAGGGACGAGGGTTTCTTATACATAAGTGGCACAGTGGCGCATGCACCGCCGTTGTCAAGTTTAACATTGACGTTGTGAAAATTCTCCTGTAGCAACCCAAAAATAAATATGACATTCAAATTTGTAAAATTTTGTGGGTTCCCGCCTCTCTTCCCACACTGCGCCTGCGCGGCGTGCGTTTTTTTCCCAAACTGACCATTATCTCCTTTGTCTAATTTCCCCTTAGAAGAAACCCTAGGGACACAGGCAGGGTAGAAATTTTAGGAAAATGACAGTCGTCCGTACGGTCCGGATCGGTGATCAGTTGTATTAGTGTAGGGTGTTAGAAGGATTCGCATGTGGGAAAACCTGACAGGGGCCATATGACCTGAATGCTCCTTCAGTGACCAGTAGAAGTCAATGATTCAGCCTGGTTTTTAGCTCATCTGACGTAGTCAGGTGCAGTTTGTAGAATAGCATGATCGTCCGTCCGTCCGGCCGTCCGTCCGTCCGTCCGTCCGTCAACAGTTGGGCACAAATCTTAACTGCTCGACGTACGGTCACGATATTTGGGACGTGGGGGGGTAATCCGAAAACGAGTTGGGATGTCGAAGCGGGGGTCAAAGGTCAAAGGTCAAGAGGTGTAAAAGAAGGGGGAACATTCCCTTCTTAACTTAAGGTATAGGGAGGAAATGCAGAATTGCGGCACAAATCTAAACGGCTCGACCTAGGCTTGTGATAGTCGGTGTATAGCATCATGGTAGGAAAAGCCATCACTGTGCCGAAATTGGAGGTCACAGGTCAAAGGTCAATGGGGCACAGGGCAGGTTTTAGACATTTTCTGAGGACATGGTCTGACGGAGCGATTGGAAAACTTTTTTGTTTCAGCGGTGACCTAGCATTTTTATGGCTTTATTGAAAGGACCATGAAATGTACTTTCTGCTGACATGCGAAGAGTAAGTGTCGGATAACCTTTTGACCCTCAAGAGGAGGGTTAAACATGGATTTGTTTACTGTTAGAAAGAATTTGACTGCCGGGTTTGCTAGTAGAATCTATACATGCCTGGATGTATGAACCTACAATGTCACAATGAAATTTCAAAAGCTAAATTTGGTTGAAGAAGGTTTATGCTCCTTAAATCGTATAATTTCTATGGCATTCTGTACTGTCAGTGTGTTACATGTAACGTATGCCACTGCCAGTGGTACTGTGTAGTTTTTGCCTGCATTAATTAGTTACAGGTGACAGCTCTCTATTTCGGCCTGTAGGCTTGCGTAGGTAAATGGATGAGTGCTTACCTATTCTGTCTTGCAAATAGTTGTTGCTATTACGTACGATGGGAGCTTCCATCTTTAATCTGAAGACACTTAAACGTACGCGCCATCTCGTGGCAACTTTCATAACGATCCCAATGAACATTCCTTTGAGAAGGTTCCTGATACCATCCCTGTGCCTTCTACTGTTTCGGCGTGTATGTGAACACATTTGGGACTAATAGGGTTTACTAGAATCCCACCACTCTACCACAGAGTCACCGCAGTAGACGTTAGATGAGCGCTGTCGCTCCACGGCACTTGTTTGTTTGTCCTATTCTGTCAAAGATGATTATAGGTGGTTGCAGCTTGGTATACCTTTAATTTCTATATTTTGCTTTGTCAGATATGCCTGTGTATAACGTATGAACATGTTTTTTATCAGTGTAAGATGTTTTTGTTGTCAATATTTATTCTTTTAGTTAGATGTATTTGTGCCTCTGATTTGCAGCAATGATGTTGCTGGTGCACTAACAACTTTTGAGGAGTATGTGAAGACATACAAGTTTACACCATGGAAGAATGAGCTGTTCAGGAAGTTCATTGAACTTGAAGATTCTGACAGTCTGCAAAAAGGTGGGTTACTTGTCTTGCCATTCACACTTTTGTTTCATTAACTATCTGTTAAAAAAATTCTGTTGTAATATAGGCTCAGATAAGTAATAGATAAATATTCAATCACTTATGCTAAGGTTGGGACTGGGTAACATATGTAGAGCTATTGATATCAAATAGTCTGAGATCCTGTATCATTAGGATTAGTAAGAGATTAGATTGGGTGGAATATAACTAGGTGAATATCTGATATTCACAGCCAAATTATGTTTATTTTGTGGCTATCAATATTATCTATTTTTGCTTGTCCTGTTTGTCTTTTTGTGTCGTTATCTTCTTACTTGCTCACGTTTGGAATTGAGTGCTTCCTAGAAGTAGAAACAGAGTTAATTGCTGCATTTTGATGAGTTATGATAGGTGTCATGATCATCACCACTGTCAGGTCACTTAATAGGTACATAATGGCTTAATTCTCATCATGGCACTAGGTAATATGACACTTGAATTGTTTGTTATGCAGTTATGGATCTCAGCAGCAGCATTCACGGAGAGATGAACGTACTGTTTGAGCTTGCTTTTGCCTTCCTGGAAACTGGAAGAGTTAAGCAGGCGAAAAAGATTGTGGAAGTAAGTGAAGGATAGGTACTCACATTGATGTCCCCCTAATGTTGTACAAATGCAAACTGCATGGGCAATTAATTTTGAAATATTTCCAAATGGTAGTTTACAGAAACATCTTGTATCTGATTCTCTAAATTTTAAACCCATTTTCTTAGATTAGGAAATGACTATTAATTGTCAGTATTATACAAGCAAATTTACATTCTTTGCTCGGTTTTTAAATCTGATTTGATGCAAACATTTTTCCATCCTGGCATTACTTACAACATGTACTACTTACTGAGGAGGTAGGTTTTCTCTCTTAACTCGCACGCACGTATAAGTTTCGTCTTGATTTGTCTTGTTACGTTCACAGACGCCAGGTCTCCGTGCCAAGATGGACCGGCTAGAGAACCTGTGTGAACAAGCCCTGAAGGACGACAAGTTTACCGTCATTGAAAATATTGTAACCATTACAAAAGACCTATTTGACATTGATCGCGACACCATGTACTATCATCTACTGCGCAGCTATAGTAAGTAGATTGTGGTTGCATGCAGGGAGAATCCATTTGCTCACACTCGTCCTATTTAAATACAAATAAGGTGTTTGCTCACTGCTCCGTCTCCTATTTTCTCTGTGATACACATTGAGCCGGAGCTTTTATGTGAAACCTACTGGTTCCAGAGCAGCCAGCAATTGTTGATGGTATCATGAATGCAAAATTGTAAACACTCTTACTCCAGAGGTCGAAGTTAACATCTCTACTTCTCCAGAACAAGCAGATCTACTGCTAGGAAAGTATCTATAAACTCTTTCGGTGGAAAAGTTGAACAAACTTTTTTACTTGGCGTTTGAGCCGTGATACAATTACGCATCATTTTAGCATTTTATTTTCCACTAAAGATAAGCAGGCTGTTTTCCGTGCCTCCTATCTTCATCATACGTCGCATTTGCTTATTGCTGGACCACCAGTCTCTAACTTCCAATCAGCTAATGTACTGTAATCCAGTTAGACCATATCCCACTTGTACTCTCACATGACAGGGCTCTATATGTTGGAAGTAAGTGTCTAGTATATGACCATGACTTGGACTTGTACATATTTCGGTGGTTGCCTTAAAATTTAATTAATTATACGAAGATGATAGTCACTATATATACTCACCGTTTAGTGTACATAACATATATCATATTAGCCATTATTCACACCATGCAGTCCTCCTTCTAAAACGTTGTACATCATTACTATCTAATCGTCTGCAGCAGGGGAAAAATAACTTTTTTTTCACGGGAGCTCTTTTTCAAAAGTCTGTGGAAAAAATAACTCTCATCAAAAATTTTACGGGAGATATTTTGAGCTTCACGGGAGCGATTTCGGAGGTTTGAAGAGCGAATCGCTCATCGCTCCTGTGTATTTTTTACCCTGGCCTGCAGGGAAGCAGGGTGACTGGCAAAAGGCGCTGGGTGTGTGGACGACGATGCAGGAGGAGAGTGTGACACCGAGCGACCGCACGCTGCGCTACCTCGCCGCTCAGCTGCGCGAGAGCGGACAACCTGTGCCGTTCACCGTCGCCGACGAGCAGCCGCCACCGCAGCCACGGCGCGCCGCGCGACCCGCAGCCGCCACGGTGAGTCTTGGAGCCGGTCGCGGCTCCTTCGCATGCACGTGCTTATTCACACACGGGTGTACGCACTCGGATGTGCACACCCATGCGCTTATTCACACACAGGTGTGCACACACTCAGATTGGCACACTCTTACAATTGCATATGCGCACGCGCACACGCCCACACATATTCGTACACGGATACACACACTCCTGCGCCTGGACATACACCTACACACACACACACACACACACACACACACGCACACACACACGCACACACACACGCACACACACCCACACAGATGCATACACAGATATACACACTTATGCGCATGGACATACACAGATATACAGATTTATGCGAGTGGACATACACAGATATGGGCACATCCTTACACGTGCACATGCACACATACACACATACACACATGCACACATACACACATACACACATGCACACACACCCACACAGATGCATACACAGATATACACACTTATGCGCGTGGACATACACAGAGATGGGCACATCCTTACACGTGCACATGCACACACACAACAGAGGAAGATGCACACCCATGCACACACATGTGCACACATGCGCACCCATGTGCACACATGCACACCCATGTTCACACAGATATGCATAGCCATGCATGCAGGCATGTGCATACAAACAAGTACACATATACACACTCATGCGTGCACATGTGCATGCATGCGTGGATGTGTATTTATTAGCTCATCTGACATAGTCAGATGCAGCTTGTAGAATCGCATGATCGTCCGTCCGTCCGTCCGTCCGTCCGTCCGTCCGTCCGTCCGTCAACAGTTGGGCACAAATCTTAACCGCTTGATGTACGGTCACGATATTCGGGACGTTGGGGGGGATCGTCAAAACGAGTTGGGATGTCGAAGCTGGTGGTCAAAGGTCAAAGCCTCAAAGGTCAAGAGGTGTAAAAGAAGGGGGAACATTCCCTCCTTAACTTAAGGTATAGGGAGGAAATGCAGAATTGCGGCACAAATCTAAACGGCTCGACCTAGGCTCGTGATAGTCGGTGTATAGCATCATGGTAGGAAAAGCCATCACTTGCTGCCGAAATTGGAGGTCACAGCGTCAAAGGTCAATGCGGGCACAGGCGAAGATTTTAGCATTTTCTGAGGACATGGTTCTGACGGAAGCGATTGAAAAACTTTTGTTTCAGCGGTGACTAGCATTTTTTATGGCTTTATTGAAAGGCCATGAATATGTACTTTCTGCCGAACATTGCCGAAGAGTAAGTGGTCGGATACCTTTTGACCTCAAGAGGAGGGTTAAACATGGATTTGTACTATTAACAAAGGACTGGAACTGCTTTTGCCAGTTGTGGATGTAAGGTACAGTTTTGCAACAGGTTCAATTGCAAAGGCCAAATGTTTGTTGAAGCAAGGGGTTACGCTCCTTAATCATATTATTTTCTAAAGCAGTCATGCTATTGCACCCTGAGTAGCCACCTGTAATTAGCACACTGTAATGACCCTGGAATGCTCACGCTGTGTGTAGGAAAAAACATGGGGGCAAGCCATTACGCATGCATGGGGGTGAACATGGCACTATTCTAATCATAATTATTGCTGGCAACCTTGCGCAATGCAGATGTTTTAACTCACAGCTGTAGCGAAAATTCTCGCCTGCCTGAATATACTTGGATTTCAGCAATCAATGGAGTGAGGTTATTTCACGCACGAAGGGGTGATGCCATCTTTGATTATTTGATGACACTTGCACAGCGCCATTCTCGCCGGCCAATGCTTTTGCTATTAGAGCCCTTGCACCCGCCCCCTCCTCCCACTCTCCCCCACCCACCCTACGCTCGCCCCGCTCGACGCTCTACCATGTAACATGTTAATATAGCGAAGTCATTTGAAAGTTAACACAGGCTGATATCTTTATTACTGTACTACCGCGATTAGCAAAGCCCTAGCCTATCAGATTTTAGATCTGTACTTAGTAGTATCCTAGATATATGACTCTGAAGCGGCGAACGCGGTGATGGGAGGGTGCTCTTTATTCGTTTGCCAGTGAGTTTAGCATCAGAACACCTGCCGTCAGGTGAGCGCTGTCGCTCTGCCGCACTTGTTTGTATATCTATATTTGTTTTCCAGGTTCAGGCTCCTCCGAGCAAACTGCTCGAGCTGGTAAAGCTGAGAGACCTGCAAGGAGCAGTGGATCACAAGAAGGGGTATAAGCTGTTGCTCATTTTCTGCCAAGCTGTGAATCCTAATAAAAAAATAAAATAAATCTCCAATTTAAATATTAAAAATCTACTTATGTGGAATAAATGGTTTTGTATTTATATTCATTATGGATAAGGTTATAATTACTAATTGACTGTGGGAATAATTACATGCATACTAATGGGCATAATTGGGAATAATTGCATACTAATTGTATGTAATCTAGGTTTTTCTATAATTCAGGACTTGCACAATTTCTGTATTGGGGTCTGAGCACTGTGCAATTAATGACACAGAATTGTTAATGTATTTTTTTCTTTTTGGTGTCAACTGAAGGTTGGAAGCAGAGGGAAAGACACTGGACAATAAAGAGTATTCAAATCTCATTGAGCTGATGCTAGAGGAGGAGAAACTAAAGGGTAAGTAAACACTGCCTATGTAATAATTGGAAATATAACAAATTATTTATATTAATAATAACTATTACATAAAAATGTAGCTGGTATTGAAGATTTTGTAGCCCATAAGCCTATATTATCAATTGACACCATCAAACACACTTGACCTTTGTCTCTGCAGATGCGTTAGCTCTGACAACTGAGATGCTGCAGCAGGGAACTCATCCGTACCAAAGGGTGCTGGTGTTCCTGCTCAGTCGCATGCACCTGGCAGGAGACGTTGATGGCCTACAGCAGCTTGTACAGCTCATGCCTGAAGCCTTACAGTCCCGCGTCTTAATCCACAAGCACCTCAACGTTGCCTACGTGCACAGGTCGGTCATTGCAACGGTGACAGCAATGCTGTCACATAACTAGTGTTTGGCGAGCTTTGTAGGGTCACAGTAATTGTCGCAAGGCCACAATTAAAAAATCTTTGTTTGCCCTCACCCGACCCAGGCTGAAAAGTTTGGGTAGGTAGGTATAGGCTTCTCTTTTTTTTAAAGGGTCTTTTTACAAAGTCTACATGCTCAGGTGTGCTTGTGTGGAGATACCTTTTATGTTGAATGTTTGTTTTGCTTGGTACATATAATGTATTGCCTACAGATTTATATAATGTACAATAAAAAAAAAATTTTGAGTCTGCTCCTTTTTGGCGGGTCGGTCGGGTGAGGGCAAACAAACAATATTTTTATTATGGCCCAATGTACTGTATGTGTAATGTAATGTGACTGGGAAGTAATAAGCAAAAGATGATTAATCTGAAACGTAGTTATGATATGAGCGATGGCCTAGTTTTAATTGGTACTTCTGCCACTGGGGACTGTTAAATGCTTTTTTTCTGGTGTGTGAGAAAGATTATATTTCATTTCAGTCAGCTTATATCTATAACCTCTGTTTTATTTATTAAAAATATGTTTTTCTCTATCTTTGTAATGTGCGTGTAGCATTGGGAGGCTCGGACTATAGTATAAATTCAGCATTTATGCTTGCTCGTGCATTTATGATTCACACTGTTGCAGTGGTCGTGCGGAAGAGCTAATCAGCCAGATTGAGGACAAGGTCAAAAAAGAGTCCCCAGACATTTACTTCAATGGATTCCTGTTTCTTCTGAAAAAACACCCAGAGTATCTTCCCAGAGGTAAACCACAGCAGTGTATAGTTACTGAAAGGCTGTTTACTATTCATTGAGTTCATTTAATTGAAATTAGTCATAAAAGATTTCTGCCACTTTTCATTTTGTTCATTGTCTCATCTAAGTGGGAATCGAGTATTTTATTCATTAATTTGGCACTTGGTCACATTGACAATAGATATTCATCGATCGTTACTGTATTGCATATATGAGTTGTATGTGTATGTATAAGAATTTGTTGTATAATTTTAACTCAAGTTGAGGCGCTGGCAAATGCTGGGCATGGGAACCTGCAGGCAACCTTGTGGGGCCATTACCTTATGACAGAGCAATATGAAAGCGCAGACAGCCTCGCAAAGGTAAGTCTATCTCCTTATTACTCGCAACAAGAGCTGAGTCTATCGGAGAGAACATCAAAAGCAACCCTTTTGATCTTCCTCAGAGTCATCATGATTTATATGACTTTGTCGAGATGTCCCCATTTTTATACGCCATGCTGAATTCATTGTGCCAAAAATTGGAATTAGTAGAGTTGTACTTTATATGTACTAGGTGTCCCTGCTCTTGATAATCAGAAAGGTCAGATGATTGAAAAGTCTTCATGATTGTATCAATAGAGTGCTGTCATATACGGACTATGCTGCAGGCCAGCTGCCTCTAGGCTCATGAGGTTGTGACATTGTAATTTTGTTGACTTGATGTTATATAGATTGAGCAGCATAATGGCCTGTGTATGTTAATAAATTTTTGTCATTGTTTACTTGCTACGTATGTATCACCGTTGTTTGAATTCGTTTACAGGAGCACCCACTTGTATTGGCACATGTGAGAGTTGCGCCAATTTGCAAGGAGGCACTCGAGACGAACAATGTGAGTTAACTAATTAACATTAATTAATATACTTAATACGAATCCATTAATTATAAATAAATCTACTAAAGTGCCAATAAACTTCATCACTGAAATTCTTTAATTTTACTGAAATGGTTAAAGTTTCAGACATAGTCACTATACAGAAATAACCTTAATCTAATCAAAATGTTGTAGGCAAATCTATAGCCTTTCTATTAATGCTTACTCTTGTTGTCACTCACTGTCTGCTGACTTTAAAAAGTAACCTGATTGTGGTAAAAACATTTAGATACTTGTAATATGACACGAAAACTACTTTAAAAAGAGTGACAAAGTAGAGATTATATGATTTAGTAGTTTGATAAGGTAAAAATACCTGGAACACTAATGATGGTTTAGTTGGTTTATTATTTTGCTCACGTGAGGCTGAACTATCTTCTGGCATGTATTTTTCATTTTGCCCTACACTCAGTTCATTTGACCATAACATGGAAATTTTTAGAGGAGAAATGAAATTATTTTGTTTATTTGTTGCAGGAGAAGATGTTGCTGAATGTCCTTGAGAGAGTCAAGGGCGTCGATCGGGTGTCTAGTGCAATCCTGCTCAGCTACCTAGTATCCCTGCAAAGTAAGTTTGCAAGAAAATCATAAAAACTACATTTTTTTAATCAATTGAGTTAATTATGCCAAAATTATTACCATATGTGAGGTCAGCAACTGTGAAACCACCATAGGTGCATAGACGGAAGGAATGTTATCGACTTGTCGATTCAACGATTGCCGCAACTACACATACTTGTCATTGTTGTGGCCCCCGGATAGAGTGAAAATAGTGATATATGGAAATTTGCGGAAATTACCATGCGAACTTGTTGTAGTGTGATACATATCCACTGTAACACACTCAATATCTGCTTTAGTACATGTACATAGTTTTGCACCAACAACACACCCATAAATTTTTGTTTTTTGTAAATGAATATTTTATCGCATAGATTTTCGTAGCTCTTTGGGTGAATTTTTGCAGACGTTTTACTGCAAGTGACGCCACTTTGGTACCTTTATCAGCATTCGTGTCCTTTTGCACATTTTCCGTACGAGTCGCTTCTAACTGTGCATAAACACGCATATGCAGTTTTTTTATGGTATTTCCGTTATCTTCAGCTCGTAATGGTGACCTCACTGGAGGTCTACAGACTGTAATGGAAAGAAGTAAAGCGGCTGGTATCAAGCCAAGTGACATGCGAACAGGCCCTCTCAGCATGCTGAAGCGTGCTTTGGAGGCAAATAGTCAACCTGTCCCTTTCCAGGTGCCAAGGGCACGGGTAAGCTTGTTCAGGGGTTATTTTATCCTCTGCGACGAAGTCGGCGGGGATACTATGGTTTCATGTCTACCCAGCCGCCGCCGCCGCAGACAATTTCTCTTCCGCTTCATAACTCGACCCCTAATTGACCTAGCGCTACCAAAGTTGGTATACTTACACATCTTGGGGAGAAGGTGAGCACAGCGTACCAAAACCAGGTCACTGCGACCTTTATTTGACCTTTACCTTGACCTTGATCATATTTCCCTTCCGCTCTCTGACTCGCCCCTAATTGACTTAGCGCTACCAAACTTGGTGTAATTACACATCTTGGGGAGAATGTGAGCAGCGTACCAAAACCAGGTCACTGCGACCTTTATTTGACCTTTACCTTGACCTTGATCATATTTCCCTTCCGCTCTATAACTCTGCCCCTAATTAACCTAGCACTACAAAACTTGGTATACTTACAAATTTTGGGGAGAAGGTGTGTCGCGTACCAAAACCAGGTCACTACGACCTTTATTTGACCTTTACCTTGACCTTGATCATATTTCCTTTCCGCTCTACAACTCGGCCCCTAATTGACCTAGCGCTACCAAACTTGCTATACTTACACATCTTGGGGAGAATGTGTGTCGCGTACCAAAACCAGGTCACTGCGGCTTTTATTTGACCTTGACCTTGACCTTGACCTTGATCATATTTCCCTTCCGCTCTATAACTCGACCCCTAATTGACCTAGCGCGACCAAACTTGGTATACTTACACATCTTGGGGAGAAGGTGTGTCGCGTACCGAAACCAGGTCACTGCAACCTTTATTTGACACTAGCTGGGCTACCCGGAGATGCCCGGGATTTTTTGGGGGTTACTGCTTTTCTGCTATTTCATGCGTTTTCTGCTATTGCTTGCGTTTCGGCATTTCATGCGATTGCCTGATTTTGAGCCTGACTATAGTTGAGCGCTATATGATTGCTGTTTACTTTTCTGCTGCGCTAGGATTCGTGTTGACTTTTCTGCTGCAGTGTATAGTCGAGCGCTAGGATTGCTGTTAAATTTTCTGCTGCGCTAGTATTTTTTGGGGGGAAATCTGTTGTTTGTTTTTTTGCCCTTATTTTGGCCTTTTTGTGCAAATTGTTTTTGGCCTAAAATGGTCGTCGCATCATGCTGATTGAGAATATACCTCACGGGTCACATCTTACTGGTCTCGAGAAGACAGACAGACAGATAGATCCGGCGATTTATTGTAGGAGATGAATACAAAACACTCGAAAATACGAAAATAAGCAGCAAGTTCAGCATTTATACCTATAAAGTATACGGTAGTCGTCTACGACGCTTTCCTGTCTCCTTCGAAGCTAATAATTTGTTTATTGTCGCTGTAATTCGACAATAGAGCTACAAAATACAGCTACAATGGAGCTACAAAATGCACTCGATGAAGTAGGAGGGTATATAGCGCCACCGCGCGGACATTTATTAAAGTAAATAATTTTAATTGTAATTTGACACTTTTATTTTGTGTATTTTTTTTTGGGGGGGGGGGGTTTATAAATGGTCGTCGCGTCATGCTGATTAAGAATATATATGGTGTTGGGGGTGACCTCTTACAGGGGGGGGGGAGAAGATAAAGCCCCAGACAGACCGAAAAACAGACTCGCCCTTTATGTAAGAGATTGACCTTGACATTGACCTTTATCATATTTCCTTTCCGCTCTATAACTCGGCCCCTAATTGACCTAGCGCGACTAAACTTCGTATACTTACACATCTTGGGGAGAACATGGCGGGGGATACATGTAGTTGGCGACAACTGCCCTTTCTAGTTAAATTTGAATTTAGATCATGTATGCCTGTGTGTATGTGTACGTGTGTATATATTTACGTATGTATCTTGTTCGTCAAAAAATGTGAGTAAGGATTAAATTTCACTGTTTTTATCGTTATCAGTCAAGTAATAGAAGAAATCAAGACTCTTCATCCTCCAGTGATTCATCGGATTCCGACTCGGACTCGGATTCAAAGAAGAAGAGCCAGCCTCTTCACAGCTAGGTGCCAGCCAGGAAGCAAGAGTTCAGTGGTCGATGGCAATGACCAGATTCTTTACACAGGCTCTCTGTGACTAGATGAGAATTTAGGACACCATGTGCCCCCTCTGCAAGAGCAGCAATTTTCGAAGTGTAACGGATAAACTGAAGCAGACAGATATAGATAGAGAGAGATAGAGATTGAGAGAGTGGAGCGCGAAAGAGAGCGAGAGAGAGAGGGAGCGAAAGAGAGGGGGAGAGAGAGAGAGAGAGAGAACCTCAGACTATGCAAGGACAGAGGTAAGATAAGACAGGGAGCCAGTTGGATTAAAGAAGGAAGACATGTCTGAATGGTGTTCACCACTGTATGAAACCTTCAAGTAATTCGAACTGGTCTTCACATTACCTCACTTCTCAGCTTGAACTGAATTTGTTCTTTGTATAATTTGCGATGCAATTGGCCTCACGATGGATGTGGTAATTGTTAAATGGTATTATTGTCCATGGAGGCAAAAACACGTGAAAATATTCATCTTATGCATATTAGATGAGTCATCAGGCAGTCGCAGGTGGTTATTGTCTCTGGGATGCATCGAGCAAAGGTTAATTGCTGGCTCGAGTAACGAGTGTTCTCGTGAGTGATGTTGTACCACAGTGTGCATGTTTTAGACTGACGGGTATAACCAAATTCCATTGCGACGATAATTGTGATACGTTTCTTCGCACCTGTGTATTGTTGTGAAATACGGGCAAATTTTCCCGCCTTTGCCGCATAAGTAGCTGGATAGTGTGTTGATTACTCGTTGTAACAGCTCACAACGAGTGGGGCTGCATAAACAGTGCGTGTGATGTACCCAGAGCATGCCAACAGAGAGCATTTTACCCAGTTCAATTGTGTAGATGTCATGTTAGAATTCTGTTGGAATTGACCATGGGGAAGCCCTCTTATCTTGCAAGCAGCAGTAATGCTTGCTAAGATCGTTTCACAAGTTTATTGCCACGCAGTTATTGACAGCTAGATTGTGTAACAATTCTTGCTTGCTACCGTTCTGTAGCATAGACCAGCGCCGCACCATCCCTAGTCACGAACCACTGTAAAATTCGTAATAAGTACCAGTGAAGAATATTCACAAGTGATTATTGATAGTAAATGACTTGCGTCCACAATGTTAGGAATACTTTTCTTTTTAGCTGTCATTGTATGTTTCCGATGTCATTATTGTTAGCTGTGTAACAGAGCGCTGTAATAAAACTGCACTGTGTATGTTTAGTGTTTAACTAAAAACAACTTTCCTTTGGGTTTGATATTGCTACTGGTGTGTGTTAGTGGATTATTAATGATTACTCCAAGATTAGACAATAGTTTGATGTTGCAATGAGTATTATCATATATATATTTGTATATGTATATGGGGGATGAATTGATCGATGTATGGATGGATGGATCGATGTATGGATGGATGGATCGATCGATGTACGGACGGAAGGACGAACGAACGAACGGATGGATATATATATAGATTCATGCTATTATGCATTTAATTACTTTTACATTTGGAATAAACGTATTAAAATTCTCGCTACCCCTAGTACTCCTACGACTTGCCTCAACCCGTTTGAAACGCTGTATCCCTAATTGAGTGGCTACCCGCACCATATCCATGCCTATTGTCTCGTAATGGGCCAGTCTAATAGCAAAATCCATACATATCTGGTCATATAAAGTTAAACAATGCTACCGTCTGCCCGCGTGCGTAGCTGCGGGCTCATTATTTGTCTATCTCTGTGTGCGTGTGCGCGTGTGCGCGTGCGCGTGTGCGTGTGCGTGTGCGTGTGCGTGTGTGAGCGTGTGCGCGTGTGCGCGTGCGCGTGTGCGAGTGTGAGTGTACATTATAGTGTACATGTGCACAGAGTTTGCTGGGGAAATGCCGATAAGCGTCGCATAGCCTCCCTGTGGCAGACCAGGCTGCCCTTGTATTTTGGAGACAAATAAAATTACTATAGCCCAAAACATAACATTATACTATTTTACATGTGTTTTATTTAAAGAAAACCATCAGTTGTATTTCCATTTCCACAAACATAACTATACACTGTACTTATATCTATATTGTATAGATATGTTCATGATAATACTAGAAGATACAATGTATAACGAAGTCTTGCCCCCACAAATTCACTCTAACCTCAACCGACTCATTTTTCGACTTGTATCCAAAGTCTCCTGGTGCAGAATATTTAATGGGTAACAAGTATGGTTCAATAATTGTAAGAAGAATATACGCTTTAACCATGTATAATTTGTTTCTCTATTTCACAAACTTACTATGCACTGAGGACTGCATTCCTGTTTGCAGGTTCATCTCATATCTATGATTTTACTACGCTAGGTGGAGACACATTCTATTTTGGACAGGCATGTTACACCTGTTGTGCTCAGGTAAGAAACAGGTGGGAGTTTTCCATTTCTGTTAGAGATATTCTACGAAAATTAAAGTGTCACATCTATTCGGGCAGAAGGTAGGGCAATGTAGTGTCTAGTCATCTGTGCGTGATAAGCTACATTGTATTATTTGCCGTTTCAATAGGCAGTACGAGCGATTTCATTGTTGGTTTATTCACATATGGCATGGAAGTAATTGCTTCCGCAATTCGAGTTTTTTCTTAATTGTTTTCGTCTCGGCCTACACCTGTAGCTGAAGCTGTAAGCTGTAGAGAGATCGTGCATGGTAATGTTAGTATGGCCTGTAGTGCAGGACCCACGGTGTCTAGAATTCAACTGGCCAAGGAACACGACGCCGGTCTGGTACAGAATGTTTTAGTGAAATATATATTTCTCGCTAAAGCTATAACTAGTGTAATTATATCATGCATGATCATACATGCAATGGATATATGTGTATATAAAAGCCCATACATGGTATAAAGTTTATAATTATATGCCATATATTATACATTGTATATAAGCAGAATGTCTTCGTGACAAGCTGCTACGTGGGGTCCGTTACAGATAAAAATAAAAGCATGTACGTTGTTGTTGTTGTTGTTGTTGTTGTTGTTGTTGTTGTTGTTGTTGTTGTTGGTGGTGGTGGTGGTGGTGGTGGTGTTGCACTGTTGGTGTTGTTGTTGTTGTTGTTGTTGCTACTGCTGTTGTTGCTGCTGCCGCTGCCATTGCTGATGTGCGATGTTACTGCAGCTGTTGTTCTGGTTGCTGCTGCCACTGTTGTGCATGCTGGTATTAGTGTACAGCTACATCCACATATTACGAATACAACAGGTGACGGTTTGTATGTATTTGTAACTATGTATATCTATATCACACCCAACACCCGGTCAATCGACTGATGTAAACTTGCCATATGCAGATACCTGTACTCCACAGAGAAACATATGATAAAGAAGAATGAAACAGTACATATAATTATATATATATAATGTTATAGTGTCATCGGTGCATATGTCATTGACGATAAAAGATGACTGTATTATATGTGCAGCTTAGAGGTAATATATATATACTAATTGCATCTTCACAATTCTCTCTGAGTGTATGTTTCATCTTCCCGGTAACTAGTTCTTATTATGCATCAACTCGTATGTATGAAAATTATATGTTATATGTCACAGCTAGAGCATGGCATCACACTCTTGTCTCGTTATGACAATTCCCTAGCTCATTACTAAAGTCGTCATTATATCAGTAACGCTTCAGTAATGTTTTTACACGTTTATGCAAATGATAGCACAAGTTGCTGCTGTTAGTGGTCGTAGCTGCATATAGCAGTTATTTACCTCATATCTGCAACCATAACTTGACACAGCTCAACAATTTATATTATCGTATTCTTTCATCATAAGTCTGTACTAGTTTTTAAGTTTCTTGGTTTTTGTTGACAACCATTCAACAAGTTCGTGTATCAGTAATAAGTATAAGTATAAAGTATAACTTCATTCCTCCTTTAAAACATCTGTTAACAAATCTGCGAAGTTTCTGAAATTCTCTATTACGCACGCGGTGCAGACCGCATGTTTTTTAACTGTAGAATGCGTTTCTGTGTGCATGATGTGTAGGTAACCGATGTGTGTAATTTGTTTACTGGAACAATTACACAATTCGATCAGTGTTTGAAGGCTCACTCATATCTGGCAGCTATTGTGGTTGACCGTTCATGCACACTGCCCGCACCTCGTTCAACGCAAACACGTCCATACATAAAAGCGCCCGAAAGTACCCGGCAACGCTGTGGTTACAAACAGGATGAACCCGGGATCAAAAGAGTCACAGACATGCCATTGTCGATCCTGATCGCCTGCCTCCATTGTTCCACCTGTTGCTCCTTCACTAAACCGCCGTACCCTGCAGCAAACATCCATTCAGCTCACCTCGCATGTAATGTCTCCGTATGTGGAGGGAAATGCGCTTAGGGGGTTTGCTGTGTGGGGGTATGGACAAGTAATATATGGCACCAATTAAAAGGCAGATTCCCTATACTAACCAGTTTTGAACGGAATACTTAGTAGGCACTATCTATATAACGCGTTTAACCCCCCCCCCTCCCCACCACCACCACACGCACGCACGCACGCACGCACGCACGTGTTTACAGTCACGCGCGCGCGCGCACACACGCTGTCCACCTAGTGAAAGTAAAGTGGCCAGTGCACATAAGGGCAGTAGCCAGGTTCTACCCAGTACCCACAGCAGAACAAGTTTCAGCAAACCGAGGTGCGTCCCCCCACCCGCGTCCAGGCTCACCTATGTTCCCTATCCCGCAGCACATCTCTCTATCTTCTTTCTCCCGCTCACTGACGGCGCTCGTGAAGGGCAACCAGCGGGGTCGTACACTGACCTAGCGTCGGCGTCCGTTGTCGGTCCACAGACCGGTATTTGCCGCTACAGCGAGATCGGGGAATTTCAGCGCGTCTGGGGGTATCCGCACGCGTTATTAGACACCGGCGCAGAGCAGTACGGACGAGCGCATTGCTTGCATACACCGATGAGGTAACAGGTGACTTGCGAAAAGTTCGCGGTGTATTTCGATATCTTGTGTGTCGGCTCCCGCGCGCGCGTGGGAACGAGGAGAACTATAGTGTACGAGCGTCGTTTTGCTGATCGCCTGCCCGCGTGCGACGTACGTCGGGGTTCCTTCTCTCGACAGAAGACGCGTGCGCGTTCGCGACTGCGTGCGTGTGTGCGTGTGCACCACTAGTCGGTGTTCTCTCTCACACACACACCCACGAGCTTCGGGATTGTTTTGCAGCTGAAGCTCCACGCAGCCGACTGCTCCTCTCCACTTACTATTACTACACGCGGCATCTGTAAGCACCGGCGGTCGCCATGGATCTCGCGCGCTCTGACAACAGCGTCGACGACGACTGGCTGAACAGCTACCTGGACGACGAGTACCCGGTGCTGAACGACCGCATGATCACGGACGCTTGCAAGCCGATCGGCAAGGTGCTGCGGGAGAACGAACCGGAACACAACTACTCGCTGTCCTGTCGGACGTCCTTCAACAATGACTCGGACTTCATGTCCGACGACGGATCAGTTGACGGTGAGCACAGGGTTTCTTATACATAAGAGGCACAGTGGCGCATTGCCGTTGTGAAAATGGTTTCAGGGTGCCTAAAATGCAGTCAAATACATTCAAATTTTTAACATTTTGCTGTAGGAGACTCCCCAGAACACCCCCCCCCCCAGCTAGAGGGGGCGTTTCCCCTCTTCCTCTCTCCCCCCAGCTAGAGGGGGCGTTTCCCCTCTTCCTCTCTCCCCCTGCGCCCGCCTGCAGCGTCCGCATGCGTGTCTATGGCACGCCTTTGAATCCATCATGCGCGTTTTTTTCCAAACTGGCCATTACTTCCTTTGTCAAATTTTCCCTCAGAAGAAATCCTGGAGCAACCGTGAGGCTACGTTAGGAAACCCCTGTACATATATCGTCATCATCGTCATTGTCAGCATCACTATCATCATCATCGTCTCTACCTCGCTAACTATGACGGTATATGATGGAGAAATTCATCGGAGCTCTATAGTTCACAGGAAAATAAATAACTTTATTTTCCTATAACCGTATAACCCCTAACTCAAGCTAACACGTAACCTAACCCTAATAATATAACCCGTAACTCAATCATAGCACTATACCATGATACTACCCTAACCATAATCCTAATCTTATCGTAGCCCACCGTTAGCAATTGGAGATCGTAAAGTAGGATTATACTGGGATGTGATTTTGACTCCGGGTATGCTGGTTCATATGTGTGTCTGGTTGCGACTTCACATCCTATACGTGTAACGTGTATAGTATTTGGTGTGATCTCGACCCCATTTATTATAAAGTATATAGAACTGGTGCTAGGGAATAGCGTTAAAGCGGAAGTAAGGTCGTAAATTTTATCACTGTAGCTATGTGGTCTATGTACAAGTGGGCCGTTAAATTACTTCATGTTTGGTCTGACCCGAATGACTCATCAAACACGCGTGGCTACAGTAATGCTTATCACTCATAATTAATTAATTTTAATTATTTATTAACGTTGCAAAGTACGAAGCGAAACAGCACAATTAACAAATCGTTTTCCATCTATATGGCGATTCATCATTTAATTTGATTATAATTAAAACGATCATGGGGAAAACACTCATCTCTGGCTATGCGAATCGTCGTGGTAAATTGCAACGGGCATAGCTAGAGACTTTTTTTGTAAATTTGCAGTGTACCTCTCACCTAATGGTTCAGGATTTTAGTTACTGCGCACACTGTATTCGTGTAATAGGTTAACGTGTTCTCGTCAACATTGCATCTGTATTGCCAACTATATAGCCGTAGGCGTGATTCCCTGCTTTAACAAGTGCTTGCGTGAAGCGGTGCCCTGCAGTGTGCATTGCAGTGGCAGTGCTTTGACCCGCGAGCGCGGGCGCGTGTAGATTCCAGCCTAGGATTTGCCGTGCTTGGCTCTTTCTGCTCGTCACGCATGCTATCACGTATGCGGGCGAGTTTCGAGTGGGCGCTAGCGGGTGCGCGTGAAAGCGTGATTAACGAAGCTTGACGCGCGAAGTTCATTTACACGGGATGCTCTCTCCAGTATTCGTGTTATGAACAGTCACAGTGTGCGTGCACGCGCTTATGCTTTGCTCCTAGTATGCACAGTGTGACGTGTGTGAGATTGCCCACTTAATAATGTAGCCAGCCCTTCAACCCGCTACCAGCCTGTGGTGTATGATCCCCGCTATGTCATCGGTGGCTTTTGGTCAGGAATCAGTAGTTTTGTCACACACACGCACGCACACGCACACGCACACACACACACACACACACACACACGCACACGCACACACACGCACGCACGCACACACGCACGCACACACACACACACACACACACACACACACGAAATCGGATGAATAAGTTAAATTAAGATTTTATTATATAGCAGACACATTTAAACTGTAATTGGATGGTAGGGGTTATCGTCCTGTTAATTAGTCTCTATAGCTGCTTTCAGTCTATTGCCTGGTGGCCGTTCTTCGTACTTATGCGTCGTAACCATCCACTCTTTCTCCTACCCTACCCCCCCCCCCACACACACACACCGACCCCACACACACTAATCCCCCCCCTTGCAATTCGGCATTCCCTCGTCTCTTCCTATAACCCCAATCTCTAATGATATACTGGGCTGCTGTGTGTATACACTGCTCTGTGAGAACCAGTATTTTGCCTCCTGGCATTATTGCTATGGATATTTTCAAGAGCGTATCAAGAATGGCCTTCTTAATACGGTCTTGATATTTTGTACCCGGGCATTTTGCATCTTGGCCTTTTGCCTCTGGGAATTTCATTACTAGCATTTTGCAGCGGTTATATGGCGTATAATATACGTAGATATGTAGTAAATATATATGGCAGAAATGAAACATATATGCTTGAATTTGTTTGTGAGTTTTTTTTAATAATATGTAATTTCATTCACAGATCTGGATTCAGATATGCCATCGTTTTTCATTTCGTCGGATGTCGTGAAAAATGCCGTTCAACAGCAGACGCCACATATTTACATAAAATCCGAATCAGGTGAGTAAGCATTATATCATGGGCCTTTAAACCCCATAGACAGATACCTCTACATAGACATTCAGTGGACAGGGTAGAGCTGCCTGGCCAGTAAACTGGGGAGGCTAAAAAGTTGGCACGCGTAGTTGAGGGCACCTGCATTACTCAAATAGTTTCACCTAGCAAATGGGGTCCACGTACCGCGAACTGGTTTCGTTCGATATACCATTACGGAAACGTGTTTGGGTTCGTTGCTTAGCACAGTAGAGCACATAAAGCCTTGTCAGGCTGGTTTGGCTCCATGTGCGGTGATATAATATGTTCTGTGTGACATGCGTCCCTGTAGCGTTAATCCATGGAGCAGCTTGTGGGATATGACAGCGTGTGATATAAACAATAAATAGTAGACGGAAACCTAGTTTTGTATATCAGTCAGACCAGTCAAGCTATTATACACATATGTAATAATGTAGTTGACTTCAGTTTTACTTTTATAATGTCACCTGCCCCCCCCCACCCCCGTATTCGCTTAAATTGTAAAGTTTATCGATTACAAAGACATTGCTTTTAATTTATATCAATGCTTGCAAATTGCAGGTCTTAACACACAGCAGCCAAAATTTATTGTTACAACCAGCCAATCGCTAGGAGTGAAACACCCAGATAGATTAGTTCTACCAAAGTTCATCAAAGTCGAGCGTTTAGGGACAGTAGATGGAACTGCAAAAACAGGTATATTGATCATTCAAGTTCGCCATTCTGATAATGATTATCAACAAATAATTATGATAAGGATCTTTAGCAACCTCTCCAGACAGGCATGTATAACACTGCGGATGGAAATATTGCTGACTGTATATTGGTATTGGTGTATGGTTTAGGTATAAGGGTCTGTAGCAACCTCAGAAGACAGGTGTGTGCTAATTCTGATGTCAACGCATCAGATGGAAATATTGGTAATCAGGGAGGGGGAGGGGGGCTTGGTTTTGGTTCTGTAAACTCATGAAGAAGATTGTGTTTAGCACTTTGCTTACACAAGGTGTGGTTATAAAAACATGCTACACATGTCTAAACGTGGCTTGGATAGGCCACACTTGTTGACAAATGACTGTGAAATATTCTTGGCTTTAAATTATGGAAATATGTGCACTCTTTAAGATGTGAAGCCCTGTTGTGTGCATCACTGCAGTAAAACATATATATACATATATATATATTATATATCACTTTAAAAAAAAAATTATCAACTGCTCCGGAGACCATATCCTATTGTTCTACGATTCTTTGGAACTTTTCTGTTCTGTGATTTCAGTTGCTGTAAGCCAAGTGCCAAGTGAACGGTGTAAAATGACCTCGTGTTTTTTCAGGGTTTACGGGGAGTCCGCCAACGCCACCAGCAAGTAGCTCGAGCAGTGACAGTGATGGCAGCAGCAGTCCCCTGCACTCATGCTCTCTTAGCAGTCCCATCAAGCAGGAGACTGTCACTAACAGCAGCATCCGCATGCAGGCCATCACCAACGCCGTCATCACAGATCTCTCTGTAAGTCTTCCATTCAAAAAGGCCATGCAACACGACATCCTTCATAAGTTTGTCTTGCGTTTGTTTCTGATGTTTGCTTTCGTACAGAGTTATATAGCTGCATTTCACAGTGTTTCCATCAGCACTTGTTTATTACTACTAGATTTGTGTGTGTGTGTGTGTGTGCGTGTGCGTGTGCGTGTGCGTGTGCGTGTGCGTGTGCGTGTGCGTGCGTGCGTGTGCGTGTGTCGTGTGTCGTGTGCGTGTGCGTGTGCGTGCGTGTCGTGCGTGCGTGCATGTGCGTATACGTGTGGTTGTGGCGTGTGTGCGTATGTGCGTGCAGTTGTGCGTGCGTGCGTGTACGCGCGGGTGTGTGCGTGCTGTAAGCCAGATTGTATAAGGATAGCATTCAGTGTGCTAATTTCTCTCTCTCTCTCTCTCTCTCTTCTCTCTCTCTCTCTCTCTGTCTCTCTCTCTCTTCTCCTCTCTCTCTTCTTCCCTCTGCTCTCTCTTCTCTCTCTCTTCTTTCTCTCTCTCTCTTCTCTCTCTCTCTCTTCTCTCTTGGTCTCTCTCTCTCTCTCTCTCTCTCTCTCTCTCTCTTTCTCTCGCTCTCTGTCTCTCTGGGTCATAGTTCTAACAATAATCGTTGTATAGTCAGTTCATCGTTTGATGGAATTTAAAGATTGATGGATCTTTATTTGTTTCCACGGATTTTTTCCATCCAGAAACTTCCTCAATCTGGTCCATTATTGCTGTCCGAGGAAGAAAAGAGAACACTTATGCAAGAAGGTTACCCTGTGCCTATCAAACTGCCTCTAACGAAGTCAGAGGAGAAGGTGCTTAAAAAAATCCGAAGGAAAATAAAGAACAAGGTATAATTCGTACACTAACAGTCATAATTCATGGTTTCTTCATTCACTCAGCAGGGAATTCTAGCATAGCTTTCCCTGATTCATATGGTAGTGTGAATTCTGCGCACCCGTCAGTATACTGTTGTGAGGTTGTGTAATCATCATCACAACTGCATAGTACTGTATAGGCCATAAGTCCGCTGTATATCACTCCATTATGGGGTGACATCGCAAGTTATTTGAGGTATGGGTATTACTAGCTAGCTAGCTAACTAGGATTGGTAAAGAAGACGGCTTGTGTTCTTGTTCCTTACTTCTCATTCTCATATATCCATCATCCCATCCAGTTCCATATAGTGTCCAAATGGTTGAGCAACTTATACTTATATAAGATGAATTCCCCGAGTTCTCTTTACTAAGAGCTTCGTTGCTGTACAAATTAAATTCATGTAATGGACAAAAAGGACAGTGTAGTTATTCCTTTATTACCAGATTTCTGCGCAAGAGAGTCGCCGAAAGAAGAAGGAATACGTCGATGCTTTAGAGAAGATGTGTGAGAATTTCTCCGGTGAAAACATGGATCTGCGAAAGAAGTTGGAATCATTACAAAACAGCAACAAGTGAGTTAATGAAACTACTTGATGAGTGCATAGATATTTTTTGTCCTAATTTTACCTGTTATAAATATATATATATATGTGTGTGTGTGTGCGTGCGTGCGTGCGTGCGTGCGTGCGTGCGTGCGTGCGAGTGTACATTTAGTTTATTAACTAAATCGGTCAGCGCAGCGCATGTACGAATGAGATTGTGTACTTACTCGCTTGAAGACGTATACGTAACTATACTATGTAAAATGTGCAAAGTGATTTGCATCAAGGATATAATGTTGTTACGGTAAACGTGCGCAAAGATTATGCAATTATTAATTGCCCCTAGGTTCTTAGAATCCAGCACGGAGTCAGCAGACAACATTAATCTTAATTAACTGTGTACCATATATAAACTAATGACACTGATTAGAAAAGGTGATTTACCATTGCCTTTGAACGTTTATTTGATGACTGCTGAGATAATATGTAGCCTGTCAGATCAAAACATGCCGTAGGACTTCAATGTTCATTCTGAGTTATAGGTGATTTTTCACCTAAAAGTAGTAAAAAGCCGATTTTTTTGGGGGGGTCATAAATACCTTTAGTAGTTATCCATGTTCGATGTTACATCAATAAAACTGGCCAAAAGTGTGTCTTTATGTGTTTATTTGCGTGTCCAAAAAGTCCAGATAATTAATGTTTTAATTACCCTAATTAATTACCTGAATTACTTACCTTAACTGTAAGCTACCATTTTTGTACTTCATACAGTGGATGGTTATTATGTCTGGTACGTGCATGCAAAAATTCATTCTCAATGGGAAGATATTTTTTCAGATTTTTGTCCAAATGAAGGCCAAATGAAAACAAACTTGAACTTTATGACCTAATTACTCTGAACTTTGTTTTCCAAAATCGGCCCGATTCCAACTACTCAAATGCTCATAACTTCCGAACCATGTGACCTAGAAAGAAGATCTTGTTGTCAAAATAACCAGAATTGAATGGTCTTTCTGATAAAACTACTAACTCATAATGTCCTACGGCATGTTTTGATCTGACAGGCTACATATAAGCTACTTGTTTATGCAACAGACACAAGAGCACACCATTAGAGACTTTCTTTTGTTCTTAGATCCATGTCATTACAGCTACAGAAGCTGCAAGCATTAACAGGAAAGCTGACACAGGATGTGTCAATTCAGACGGCTGGCACATCACTGTTGGTAAGTGCTAGTTCAATGAATTTTTCGTGTGAGTGCGTGCATGCGTGCGTGTGTGTGTGTGTTGGAAGAGGTGTTGTGATTCATGGATGATAAGAATCAGGTAGACAGGTAAAGAGGAATAAACTGCTGTACTGGTTATTTATGACCACAGGGAGTGTGTGGCCGACTCAGTTACTCACTGTCACTGTGGAAATCTTAGAGTAGGTGTGGAAACATGTCTCTATCTAACTGATATGAAAAGAATCTCGCAGCCCAGCATGTTGATTCTTTGTGTTTTTCGTTGGTGTCAGTTCGACTTGTGTGAGAAGTTGTGCCAGAAAATGGAACGCAGGAGAATCAAGATCGGTATAACTGGTAATTGAGCAAAATATATTCACCGATTATTTCGACTTTTCAGAACTCGCCGAAGAACTAGTTCTCAATGAAATACACGTAGCTGTCGCCCTTCTAAGATTTCTGAGGCTGTGGCGAAAGACAATGGGAGAGCATCGTCGATTGTCGAGCGATACTCACCAAGTGAACAGTGGAAGACGCTCCGAGTACGCTGTGGTAACTGTCTGTCGCAGATGGAAGACGTGACAGGGATAGTGGCAAGACTGCGAGTCTGCGAGAGTTTGGACATTTAGGCAATATACTGCAATAGTGTCGTAGCTGGGCTCATCAGCATTTGGGCGTCAATATCTATCGAGCTCCAGGTTCTTTCTTCGTTGCAGTCATACGTAATGGTTCTGGTAAAGTATCTGGTAGGGTCGACCTATTTGGCTTAGACCAAACTAAGCTGCCGTGTGTCAGTGTATTTGTCGTTTGTCTGCGTTATATATATATATATATGTATGAAGGATACATATATTTTGGCAGTGTTGGTAGAACACATTGGTTAAATACTCAACGCATTAGTTGTGCTGGGTTGCATGCACTGTTGAGAAAAAAACACGAAAGTTGTTTTTAGTGTTCATCAACGAGGAGCTAATTTCGTTTGCTATGTACATTGTTATTGTTCTAGAACGTTCCGTTAAAGTTAAGTAAGGGTAAAATTTAATTTATGGCCTAAATAAATTGTGAATACCCTATTTCAGCGTTGCCTCTCTTCGGAACTTTGATGGAAGGAATTCATACGATGCAAAGAGGGGCGATGATTTTAATTATTTCTTGTGTAACTAGTTCTTTGTGTCATGGATTGTCCCAAAGTGCTCTAAAATATGTGGGATTGCTAGTGGACACAGAGCACATGTCCATTATACAGTGGATGCGTTTAGAAAGTAAAGTGTGACTGGTACGCATTAGAAACAAGAACATCGTTACTGTTTTACAATGGTGCTCTTATTGTTTCTAAAACATGACATGCGTGAAATGATGTAGTAGCTTGGTAATGGGGTCTCAACTGTGATGGGTGAACACTCGTTACTATATAGTGATATAATATTCCAAGGTGTGAATTCTTTGGTCTTCATATGATCAGGTGTGCAGGATTATTATAGATCCCTATGCTATGCTATCGACATGTGCTTACGAGAACATGTTCACGGGTGTGTGTTCTCTGCTGTCATTTGACAATAATCTCCATCCACTGTACACGCCTCTTATATGTAAAAAATGGTGCCGCGCGTTTGATTTTGTTTTGATTTCCATTGCATGTTATGAGATGTTATCAAATTATTATCCCTGGAAGAGGTGCAATAATTAATGGACGGAAACACAGCGTTACCGTAACTAATCGTACGGTCTGTCCTATTAGGCTGCACACGCAGGTGTCAGCTTGGTTTGTTATGTTTGTTGGAAATTTCTATAGTGCATGTATTTAAAACAAACAAAAAGTTGTGACCTTAACTTATACGGGAAGATAGAAATGTCAATTTATGAAGTCGAAAACGGTGGCCTTACCCTGAAATGCTTGAAATGTAAACGTTATTTATAAGCAAAATCGTATTTTGAACGGGGACTTGAATCTCTGACAGACTGTGGATGTGAATAAAATTTGCACGTGTTTTTGGGGCAATGTATTTTTATACATTTTAATAGTGGATGAGGAATAAAAACCTATTTTCTGTTAAAATAATAAATTCATTACAGGTGTATATATTGTGGGTTTTATTTTTTTGTCTAAACTCGGTTAGTATACATATAAACGATAAAATGTTTTTACTGACGTTTGTAGAACATTAGATAATGATAACCATATAATCAGGAGTAAGATAATATAGATTCTAATCTTATAGATTCTATAATCTATATTATCTTACTCCTGATATAATCCTTACAACACCTTGAACCTTTTGTCCAATGACATGATAGTACTACACACTATCCACTTCTATTACGCCATGTTAAGGTGAAATATTACATCGCTTCTTTTTAATTGTCCTCGACCTAACTATAGGGACGTCACCTATATATCATTTTCTAGCACCACAATGTGAGCTGGTCATTGACCTCTACTTAATTACAAAAGTGTAACCTAAATAACGAAGATTGCCCTGTATCTGCTACTGAACCACACTTTATGACCAATATATGATCATTCGGGTAAAAATCTAAGTAATACTAGACATACAACTTGGGCTTGCGTGATTTGTACTCACACAGTATACATATGAAGAGCTGATTTCCAAAAAATGTTAAATCCATTTTGGTCAAAAATGAGTTAGTACCATCAAATTACACTACATCCATATCTACATCATGTGTGATATCCATTTGCATCAAAAGTTGGTATATCCCTTCACGAACAGCCTCCAAACATTGAGTTTGGTCCCAAAAGGTGTTAAATCCATTAGAAGATATCATCACATTTTTATTTTTGTAATGTTCTCTTTGCCTGAAACACGGTTTTTCACTCTAATATTTCAAGTAAATGATACTTAGCATGAAAACACACTTGAATGAAATCTAATGCACATGATTGATTTTTAATTAATTTTTGTTTTTGTCATTGTGAGGAATACATAAATTCTGGGCAAAAACATAGTTTGAGCTCTTTTGCACTAAAATTTAAATATGAACAACAATGGCATTATCATTTTCGTATGCAAGAAGTAAGCTAATAGGTTTCAAAAGAAGACAACTCTGCTTTACATTTGAATATCGTGACAAATAAACCCAACACCACAAAATTATAACACATAGCTACAAAATCAGTCAAGAGTTTGGCTGATTTTTTTTCTAATAAATTGAAATGGGAAGTAGATTAATTACACAAAACATATGTCACACCAGTGAAATGGCAAAGTACTAACAACAAAGATCAAATTGTACCTATTAATATATATATATATATATATATATATAATCTGTGTGTGCGTGCGTGCGCGTGTGTGTGTGTGTCTGTGCGTGCTTGCATGCGTGCGTGTATGCATGTCACGGCAACTGGAGCATTCCCCCTTCTTAACTTATCAATGAAACTCACTATCAAGGGCCTATCACACAATGCTATATTATCACCTGTATAGATACACACATCACTCTAAACATCATAAAAGCTGAGATACAATCCAGCCTAAAACAGCGTAACCGTGTTTAAAAATCTTCAGTGTCTAACAAAGCCATTTTATGAAAGTAATTTCTGGAAAACGTTAAAACAGACGAATGGTATCTCCAACAAACAAATATATTACTGTTGTATATAATGTTATTTTAATAACCATCATGATCATCATCATTATCACCAATATTATTGTTGTTACTATAATTACTGACTACTGCTTCCTACTACTACTACTACCAGGAGGACCTATATTATCTTACTCCTGCTACTACTACTACTACTACTACTACTCTTATTATTATTATTATTATTATTTTAAGAAGTAGTAACAGATTAGTAATATTGGCAGCACTAATAACGGTAGTATGCAGTAGTTACAGTAGTGGTAATCTTTCTGCACAGAGGGGAAATACTACATGTAGAGATAGCTGTAACTATCCATAAAAGAAGAGAGTCATTAACAGTATCATCCGTACACACAGTTAATAAAAGTTCATGGGCCTAGTAGATTTTCATACAAAACACTAATAACACTGTGGCTAAACATCAAAGGCGCTGCACTGTTACATCAACTTTATGAAGCTTGATGAAATTCTGAATTTGTAATAACACGACATGTGTACGATGATAACTACCTTCTTCGATAGAAACAGGTAAAGCAAAATTGGTTTTCATTTGCTGCATTGGCTTTCTTAAAAAGTTAGAGAACACTTAGGCATGCTATACAAGAAACACAACACTGATTATGTTGGCACAAATCAAAAAGGTCATACCTGAGATTTGTTGATAATTATGAGGAACAGATGCCTATGCTTACTATATCAAAAGATATTCCAAAAAATATGTATACAAATTGCACCCAATCTTTCTACCATTGTCAATAATACCAATTAGCACTATCATGTTTGATTTTATGAAAATAACGACACATGTAAAATAATTTCACAGTATTTTTATACTTTCAACAGTGCACATGTGCATAAAAAATTATCAAACCATGTTTGATATCAGATTTTTTCAGTATGCATATCAGTGTCTCTGTGGGCGCACGTGCGCGTGTGCATGCGAGCGCGTGTGTGAGAGAAAGAGCGAGAGAATGGGAAAAATAGTTATATATATATTATATATATATATATATATATATATATATATATATATACATATATATATATAGGAACAACAGTGAAGAAAATGAGAGGTGGGAAGGAGGGTGGGACAGAGGAAAGTAGAAAGGGAAAATACAAGTGATAGTATGAATACTATAGGGGTTAATACAAATAAGAGAATTTCTTCATTATGTTTTTTCACTAGTGCCTAAATTAAATAGACTGTTATAAATAGAGTACAAACTTATAGTGTGATAATAGCATATTAGAAAATATATTATTGTGTTATCCTATAAAACAAGGAGATTCATTATTAAAATTTCCCTGGTTGGTCCCAATCCTATCAATGGTCGACTTCCAAGCAATAACTACATATACCATGATTTTTATGATATTGAGAGAAGCTATTGCATCGAAATATTGAGAGATTAATCCTGCTAGATATATTTTATCCCTAATATATTCACTGCCATGTTGGTAATACTTGCCATCGAACAGTACCTAGAAGGGCAAGGCACGACATTGCACTTTGCATCTATTCATAACTCATAATTGAATCATTGAATAGATGGCAAATAAAAGCCAATTTGCAAACGATCATATGTAAGTTTTACGTAACTTGCTTGTACTTGGTGAACAGGTTGTACAACACACGCAGGGTAGACTTGAGATCTCTATTGACAATGTCCTCTGGCCTTGCTTTAGGCTTTGGAAGCCCAGAGTCCATCATGAGTTCAAATGCAAAAGAGACATTGTGTACCTATGCAAAAACAGCAAAGGCTTATTAGTGGTCGAGGCTATTTCACAGTGGTGCCACCCTGTGCCTATTGTGGTCACACACATATTATATTGAAGAAACTGAAAGTTGCTTTATTGCAAACACTGCAGATACAGTCATTTTAATATTACATTCACCTTATGATCAAATGACTCGGGGGTCAGGTGATAGCTGTGAAGTGGAACAAAATAACCTTCCAGCAATCCCATGAGCAGTACTAAGTACACACCATCGTGGAACTGAAAATGATAAATGGGTAAAAAAGAAATCAAATGGAATAAACTTTGAATAAAAGATACAACAGTCTTATATTTAATTTATTGTCCTGGAGGTCTTACTGTTTTGCAACAAATTTATTTTATTCTTTAATTTTTTTAATCCATGCATCAGAAATATTTGCACATTAATTTGCATGAACACATAATAAAACGTCCTATTGGATAGCAACAAGTTATTTAGCACTACTTCATATCTCACTGCATTACAAGTGGCCTACCTGTGTTTCCAGATCATTGACTTCCAAGTTGATCCTATTCAAATGCTTGTTCACAAAGGTAACAAGGGACTGGAACAAAGATGACCACATAGGTATAAAAACTTAATGTCTATTGTAAACCAACCAATTGTAAAGTCATAGTATGCACAGTATATAAAGTGTATAGTATATAGTGTATAGTGTATAGTGTAGTGTATAGTGTATAGTATAGTGTATAGTAAAGTGCACAGTATATAGTATGTAAAGAGGACTTTTTTAATAAGAGCCCTTTCTAAAGAGGTAGGTGACCATTATGTATTTTCATCAAGCACAACATGCGATGTATATTAGTGCCAAATAATTTTAGTACAGGCATGCCCTCTTGGTTTCTTTTAGACCTTCAAGGCTTCAACCCTTGAAAACAAATCCCCACGCATTGAGAAAAGCAGGAGAGTAGATGAGAGAAGGTAGAGAGAGAGCAGGCAAAGATAGAGGGGGAAGGAGAATGGCCAGGAAGTTGGGGAGACGGTAGAGTTAGCAGGAAAGGGGGGGGTGAAGGAGAGAAGAAAGGATAGGTGGAGAGGGATGAGCATAAAAGGCATGGGAGGAGGTAGAGATTAGGATCTAGGTGAATAAGGGAGTATGGGCAGGTTCTCAACACCAAATAGAATACTGTCTTGGCTGCCTCAGACACACACATGTAAAGATAATAAATAATAGTGTCATAATAACTTGCAAAGTTTCGATTTATATACATGTATTATAAATGATATGATTTTCACTGGTTAAGGCACTAATTTATCATATTTCTTACCTTTTTTACAACATTCAGCTTGTCTGGTGCATGGTCAAATAAGGTGTCAAAGGCATCTCGCTCTATACAAAAAGATCATTTACATCTTAGATAATTATATGTAGTTATTAAATTGCCATTTCAGTCATTTATAACATTTAATAATAATTACGGATTAATCACAAAGGTTAGCTTGATTAAAATTGATAATTATTATGATGCATGATGTCTGATTGCTGATGTTTTATTTACTACTAATTATTGTAAAATATGAAAAAATGTGCCATTCCAATATCCATATATACATATTTATAGAAACGGTTAGTAGATTTTAATTTACAATAAATGAATTAATTAACGTTAACCTGGATGTTGAGCACGAAACATTTAACGGAACTTTTATAACAAACTTTGTGCTACAAAATTTTACTACATATAGATGATGAGACTTACCAAACTTGGCTCCAGGCTGTCTGTAATACATACAAAACCACAGGTAACTCAATTGGAAATTACGAAGTTATTTGCACAACATTACTCTTAATTGATGTTAAGCACACTAATATAATGACAAAGGTTGCTGTAAGAAAACGTTATTAATAGTTATTGAAATACATATATGAGATGTGATCATAAATTTTGTCATGTTAACATTTATGAAATTTTAGACTGCACCTTGTATAATTGTAAAATATAATCATGGTCTTAAACTCCAGCTGGGTTCAGGTTGCTGACCAATCTTCAACACTACGCAGAGCTTAGTGATTACGCTACCGACTATGTATCAGCAAAAAAATCATCATTCACATTTGTAAATGTCAAGCCAACACTATTCTACACGATCGCACACTCACTCGTCACTGCCTGTAATCTCCTCGGCCACTGTGCGTGTGTGCAGTATGCCATCCCGCTTCTGCACGACCACCACCTGAATGACGACATTCTCCACCAAGCGTATCGGCGCCTTGAAATGCAGGGCAAGTGCCACCAACAGGTGAAGAATCGAGACCAGATTCTTCTGATGAATGCCTGTAAATACGAGAGTATTATAGCTTTTAAAAAGTGGTAATAGCTTGTAGTAGCAACTGCAAGTAGTTATTGATGATGCAATGTAACAAGAATATGCATTCTACCACTCGTGCAATATTTGTGATTGCAGTAGATATATGTCTTGAATACACATTATTGAAGTGATGCTATATGACACCATGGCAGACTGAGCTCATGCGCTCATAAGGAAAATCATTCCTGCACTTTACAAACGTTTAAATATCACTGTTTATTAGAACGTTTATCTTACTTTCAACACTCCACTTCTGCTGGTTCCACCTCGGCAGGTTGAGAATCTCATTCGCTGCCTCTAGTACAGTTCGCAGCTTCGCTTTCTGTCCCTTCTCACTCTGTGTCACCTCTGCCACTGGCAGTCGGATATCAGCCAACTTCTCTGCAAGAGCGCACCAGACGAAAGGGTAGTGCCGAGAAGTCACGCAGCAAACATTCATGTTCTCACTAATACAATTTTTCTCAACTAACAATCATCTACTATATATTATTAAAGTAGTTTTATTAAATGTTAAACTAGACTTTGTTGCTATAGACAGCATGACTTGCTAACATAAGATGCTATCACATCTTTTCCAACGTTCCTGGAAATTAGACTGTAGATGGCACTGCCATCACCCTGTGCATGGCCAGAAGACGTAAAGGCCGAGGCATAAATTAGAATTTGATATTGAAATGAATTTTCACACAGAACAAAGACATACATAGATAGATCGGTACAGACATAGAACTGCACCAACTGATGCATAAAAACTCGAATATTAAACAACCAACTGATCCTACATTGCTCCTGCAAGTTCATTACCACACAAATTCTCGATTTCAACCTAACAGCTTATTTGTAACACGTCACTGCAAGACGATGAATTTCTCGCACACCTAGCAATTTTCCCAGGATCTGGCCGTCGTAGAGATCACCCTCAATGTCCTGTACAATGATGCGAAATGCTGCCAGCTCATCGTTCACCCAGTCGAGCAGCACCTACACAAAACAAGCTCAGCATGTAACTACTGCTAGTCGTGTTTGGAGAAGGCTTATAACAAGTCTGGGGCACATTGTCAAAAACAGTATAGTTATGATATTATAACTCTAAAATGTCATAATTTCTGAAGCAGTGTCGTGAAAAAACCATGACACTTTACACTTGCGAAAGTTGCTATCATTTTTGATGTTTCTAACAATGAAACCCTGGTATATATCAGGGTACATATTTAAATGGGAAATATGTCTGGTATGGCTCAACGTGCGTAATAAGTCTGAATCCTCTCAACGTGGTGCATTCTGGTACAGCAGAACCGGAAAACTGGGCAACAGTGAAGCATTGAGGTCTTCTCAGTCCAGTGTGATTCATATTGATTGTATTAGTTATGAGTGAATTACTCTAGCCACTTGCATGGACCCTGCATGAGATCCTTGCAAGAGATTTGCAAGTCAAGAGCAATCACACACGAACTGTGTGAATGGACATAAATTATCTGCATGCAATCGTAATTTCTCAAAGAATTATCTCAGTTTGAATGTTTGCCTAAAGACTTGAGCCACAATTTTTTTTTCACCTATCACTGTGAAACTTATGCAATTGGTCACCTAATCATACATGTTAAGTCAAATGACATGATTTTGAGTTAAAAAAATACATACATCTATGAAGGACCAAATTAAATAATTTGCTAGTACCTTCATGCAACTGTATTAATATATTTACATGCACCCATATTTGTATGCGTGTGCATGTGTGCATTCATAAGCGTGCTTGTGTGTGCGTGTGCTTGTGTGAATCGTGCTTGCGTGTGCTTGTGTGTGCGTGTGCTTGTGTGAATCCATTTCAACAAACCTGAATTAGCTGCTTGAGTCTTGGGTCTTCTCTACAAATTGGCTGCACTAAAGACCGTTCCTCATTCTCCTCTGCAATATATGCAAATACATGACATAGTGACAGAAATAACAATTCTAGTCCTGTCAGAATAAGCTTGTAACCTCTGCATTACTTCTGTGAGCTTCTCAAAGTGAATATGTGCCAAACAAAATAAGAAGAATTCAGTCATTTGGGACAGACTGTTTAAGGTTACATATATGATATAGGCAAGTTCTGTTTACCACATCGATCTTAGCTAATGTGCACTGCACAGAACTAAGTCAGGGTTCTAATGCAGACCATACTTGTTAGGCATCTGCTGCCCCAAGTTTAATCATACCTAGTATGTAATCCTCTGGTGAGACATCCGGCTTTGTAGGGCTGGCCCCAGCATCAATTGCCTTGGAGCCTTCCTCAGTTAACTCACTCACTGCAAAATACAAATATTAGTGACTATTCCAGGAACATACATAGTACACTTAGTAACCTCCACAAATACTACTGGGGGCTTAACCACTGTCCCCAGTGCCCTTTGCTCCTTTAGTTACTGACAGCAACTGCCAGTGACAGTACGAGCTTACCTTGAACATTACCAGCTTCCTAGTGACTCACCATGCTAGCCATTCAAACCACAACTGGATGATAAATATAAATAAACTATGTATGTTGTTTACTACTGATTGTGATTAGCAATGTTTAGCTATTGACTGCCTAGTGCGAGACCGAGCGCGAGACAGAGGGAGGGGAAAGGGAGAAAGTGTGCACGTGTGTATGTATGCATACAAGTGAGATATATGTCTAACATCTAACATGGATTAGGCAGCCACTGTTTACCTGTTGCACCACCAAATTAGATATGATATCTAAATCGGTGTGCGGAGAGTAGCTCACAATTGAGAAAAGGTTCTCTAGGTAATATGTACCCATCCATTTTATTTGTCGCAGAGTGGAGCCAAGGCAGATTTGAACCATTCATGTGATGCACTAGTTGCTAAAGCCCTGCTCAGGTCGCCCTACGATTTGACTATCGGCGACTACTTTATCGCCGATTAGCCGCGTAGCAACACTCACGTTGACTTGAAGTGACTTCACGCTATACATCGCCGATCAGATCGTAGCGTTCTGCAGGAAACGTAGACGGGTTCGCGACCCCAGTATTTGTACTAGCACAAACAGAGCAAGCTTGACGCTGGGACCAGTCTACATAAAATGAGTCACATGACCAACAAAATGGCGCTAACCAATAAACATCAGGTAACTTCGTAAATCTATCCTCAATTTTCTGAAAATTGTTATAATCATGTGCAGAAAAAGAATTAACAAAATTGCCTGTGATATACAGAAAACTTAATGTATATATTTGAGAAAGGGTTTGCGCAATAATCCCTCCTTGTAAACTGCTGTGTAGGCTGCCATTTCGTTAATCACGTGACTTTTGATAATGATGTGACTCGATATTTAGTGGTGATTGGCTGCCACTCACGATTTGTCGCCAACCGCCGCATAGAAATAGAACCGTTTCTATTCCTGCGATCGCAGTCGGCGACCGTATTTTCGATCGTAAGAGAACTCATCTGATGACCTTGTAGAGCTAAACAAGACGCTTGTCTTTTCTTCTTGTAAAGAATGACTGCCGCATAAGCTTCTGGAGCATTGCTGTTACACCACTATCTCTATGGTATAGTCACTTCTGACAAAACATGTCGCCCGCCTCTATAATTTTTCCAGTTTTGAGATGTCCTGTTTTATGTATGGGTATCGCCCCATTTAGCTCTAGTCCTATACTAGAGCTACGCCCCATTGAGCAGTAATCTATGACCAATATGACTAAATAAATGTACGTAGTTTGCTTTAGACTTTCAGAGCAGTATCTTGAAATATGCCAAGTAAAACCCAAAATAGATGATGAATGGTTTGAGGCTTTATTGATATGAGAGTTCCTCTTCGAGTTCTCAATAATCGCAGGCCACGATATATATATAGGCCTACCATAATCACGATATGTAGTGACAAAGTCTTTACTAACCCAGTGATTGCGCCGTACTGACCGAGTGATACCTGCATATATACAATTGCCAGGTTGGCACCTGAAAACTCCTAATACAGGACAGAGGTTTTCTGGCTCACCTTGAACGCCAGAATAAATGACTATCTTCGCATATAATATGGTTCCATGGTTTCTGCATAGGCCCTACCATTCTTCTTCTTCTTCTTCTTCTTCTTCTTCTTCTTCTCGGGTCACTAGGGCTCATAGGGCCTATGTCCCCCAGGGTACTGCCGGAACGTACCCTGGGTACGGTCCGGTATACCGGAACGTACCCTGGCCACTATTTGATATGGTTAGGGTTAGGATTAGGGTTAGGGTTAGGGTTAGGGTTAGGGTTAGGATTAGGGTTAGGGTTAGGGTTAGGGTTAGGGTTAGGGTTAGGGTTAGGGTTAGGATTAGGGTTAGGGTTAGGGTTCGGGTTAGGGAGTAGGCGTAGGCGACTACCTAGACTCGTTAGTGGGTTAGTGGAGTAGGCGAGGTACGGTACGGCATATTAGATAGTACCAGGGTACGTTCCGGTATACCGGACCGTAACCAGGGTACGTTCCGGCAGTACCCCGGGGGACATAGACCCGGCCCAAGGATAGAGAACATGGGTCCCCATAAAACCAATGTGCCTAACCCTAACCCTAACCCTAATTCTAACCCTAACCCTAAACCTAACCCTAACAATAACCCTAATCATAACCCTAACCTATTATATTGATATAATATTATATTTATATTGATGTAAATGACATTGGTTTTATTGGGACCCACGTTCTCTATCCTTGAACCCATAGACCCTATCAGCGTCACTAGGCCTACACTACCAGTGCCATGCATTGCCAAGCTTGCCATTGCCATTGCCATTGCAGTGTTAAAAGTTAGGCCTACATAATCTTTTACTTAGTGGAATGAGCATTGGTAGCCGACCAGGCTAGAGACTAATGTTAATACATAAAGTCTTGATTGATGTATGACCGTTTCCTCGAGCAAACAATAACCTAATATGTGAGTGACACTGTTTATTATAAATTAAGTGAAGTAAGCAGGAACTGAGTGAGGAAGTACTCCACCCATTTTCGTAGTCGTACAAGTTCAACTACAAATCAGACTTTAGTTACCGGCCCACTTACCGTACTATAAACCCGACAGTGGGAACTCACCTTCTTTAATTTTTTTCTTTCGGGCTAGCGTTCCCAGTTTCTCTAAGAAACCCTCGTCTTTCTTATCTTTCTTCAAATTTGTTTGGGGCGAGGCCATAACTAATACAAGTTAGAACATTCCACACTGCTGAGCTTGAGCCACACTGAACAACAGCACAATGTTACCAAAAGGCGGCGCTGCTACAAGTCAGCATGGAACAAATTTTGAAGTTGTTTTGCGACACTAGAGGACGCCAATATGCAGCAGGTATCCGAGCCGTATATATAAACATACGGCTATATTAACGGTATATTTACGGCTATATTTTACGGCTTTGGCATGTATGTACTCTCTATCAGACTATCATAGACTAACTACGCGATGTGAACTATGGGGTTTCCATTAGATCGGTGTATTAGACGCGACTTGTTGAGAATTTATCAGTTTTGAATTTGACCTTACTGAATAAGAAAAAAAATTCCCAACTGAATGTTTCATTTGCCATGTTTTCATTATTGACATTATTTAATTTCCCATACAAACAAGCAGGGCCGTACGCAGCAGGGGGGCAGCAGGGGCAGTTGCCCCCCTAGAGATTTTCAGAGTATGCCTTTTAATGGGACAAATACTGTACACTTTTAGAAATAAAATAGAAATGTGACAAAAGGCATTTTATCATAAACCATAAATCATATCATGAATCAATCTTAAATCATCAAAGAAATGTTACACTTTAAATAAAGAAATGTGAAATTGCGAAACGTTAGGGCACAGGGGGCATGGGGAGTACCTTTGCCCCCCTACAGAAAATTTTCTGCGTACGCGGCCTTGCAAACAAGAACGCAGTGACAGTCAAATTATAGCAGGTAGACAATACATATGTGATACGCGCATTCCATAGTAAAAATCAATTACAAGCCTATAGGCAAGAAGTCAATTGGGCAAAAAACATTGGCATCACTACACAGCTCGTAGAAACCACAGATGTGATGCCAATAAAAGAGAATGGTTCCTAGTAACTACTTCAGTATTAACTTCATGTAGGTTGTAACTGTATTTTTTACGGAAAATCTGTGTATAATTAAGGCCACAGGCACTTGAAGCGTTTCAATAAAATATAATGCTAACTAAATACGAAATCTATTTAACACCAAATTCTTAATGTTTCTATACTCTCTTTCACCTATTATTGCCGACAGTTTCCTGTAAATTCCGTCCAAATCCTACGTGCAACCATATATACTAGGTGAAAGAGAGTATAGAAACATTAAGAATTTTGTACTAAATAGATTTCGTATTTAGTTAGCATTATATTTTATTGAAACGCTTCAAGTGTCTGTGTATAAGGCAGTTCTGCTTATACATTACTTATTCAATCACATAAATTTAGCCATAAGCGATGTGTGAACTACGCCGGTATAATTGCTGAAGACAGGGCAAGCACACGGGTCGTAAATCAAAAAAACAAGAAAAACCCGTTTGTCAAAGGTCATGCCGTTTGTAGAAAGGTCACCAGCGAGGTTGAGGCAGTCTCATTATGAAGCCCCGGGCGAGTGCTCTTGGAAACGACTATACCGAAAAGCACATTCGACTCAGTTGTCGTGCGTTACGAATGCGACAGCGCGATGGAGGCTATCCGACGTTGACAACCGGTCGACTGGCGTATATAGTTACTCAGAACTCTGCTGACTCTTCGCAGGAAGCTTGCATAATCCGCTACCTGATGCAAAGCGAGGGCAGGGTCGACCTGAGAGATAACCAGCAATATAATAGAGTAAAAATAGCCCGGTTGCGAAACCAGTCGTTCGGATACACATCACCCACGGTCCCACACGTGGCAAAGACCTTGCGTGGGATGACGAAGCACACGATCAAAAACGAGTGGCCTGATGCCGCGATGCATTCGGATGAAGAGCGTGCTCGTATCTAAGTCGGTAAAGCATAATAAGCAAGTAATAGCATATAAAGCAAGTAAAGCATAATTACCCGATCGTAAAACTTGCTTAAGCCGCATCATCCCGCCACTCCCCCTGCCTCTATTCTTATGTTTAGGGAAAATAGTGCGCAGGTCGCTCGTCGCTATAGCCACAAAAGGCAATGCGTTTCAGTCGAGCCCACGCATAAAAACGAGAGGGCCATGCCAGAAGGAGATGTGAATCGCAAAATCCGATTGTAAAATTTTACTTGAGCCGCAGTATTCCGCCACTGCTCTACCCTTATGCTAACGTATAGGAGGAAATTGCGCGCAACTCGCTCGTCCCTTTATAGTTTTTTTTATTAGGCGCACATGAGAATGCTTTTCGCTTCATTGCTAGTCTCATTCACTAAGAAACGACAGGGGCATAACGGAGGGAGATGTGCATGACAAAATCCGACCTCAAAATTTCACTTAGGCGGCAGCATCCCACCACTCTCCAGCCCCTATGAGGCCAAACAAAAAATAGTTGTATTTACTATTGCATCGAAAACAAAAGTAGGGTAGGTAGGTAGGGATTTTTTTATTTTTATTTTTTATTCTTCGGTTCCTAACATCCCTCTGATGAATACTATAAAGTGGTGTATAGGTAGGGATAAGTTAGTAAGCAAGTCCAGAACGTGTTTGTAGTAAAAAAATCTCAAGTTTTGTCTGTCAGATTTCAAATATAAAAAAAATTGTTTAGGGTCGGCCCTAATAATCTAGGGACGGTCGGTCGACCGGAAACACACCTATTTTTTTGTTTGGCCTGATAATATCAGGAATGAATAATAATAAATCTATTATTATTCACTCCTGATAATATCTAGGGGCAATGACGGACAGGTCGCCCGTCGACATAGCAACTCAGGACAATGCTTTTCGGCCAAACTTGCTCGCGTAAAAGGAAAGGGCAAGCCTGAAGAAGATTTGCAATGCGAAATCGGATCTCAATTTTTTTCATGAGCCACAGCATGCAGCAGCAGCATCATTACTATCGCTACCATCACCACCACCACAACCACCACCACCACCACCACCACCACCATACTGCGGCAATCATTACGGTATACTCCATAGTATGTTCTAGCTGTAACGCAAACTTAACTTAGGCCCCCTAAGGCTAATATCGCGGGATGATGACGTGTGAAGTCGCGCTAATTCAGTGATGTTTTACTTTTTTAATATTTCTACAGGCTCCGGTCACACGCACCGCGCATACGGCTGTATTTCATGGTAATCATGCAGCGCACACGCGCATTTACTATGTAAATTGAATAGCTTCGGAACAATTTACTCCTTTGTATAAACAGGTCGCGTGACATTTGAATACGCGAAATGCAAAACATGTCATACCGATAAAAAATTTAAATGTAAATTCATTTGGCAATTTCTATTATTTACTTAGAAATTCTATAAATGAAAGAGAAATAGTATAGCCCTGTTTTATAGTTTTATAATATGTGTTTATTTTATAATTTTGTGTGGGTTAAGTGTCAGGGGACTTGAGTTTGCTGTCACTATAAACACCGCATGGCATAATTACTGTGTCACAATTATGCGTTCAATCGTGAAAGTTGCGTCGGCATGCCTACAATAGATTCAGTAAAACCTCAGTCGATACACGCAAAGTGGCTATTAGATGTTGGCGATTTATCCCGTTAGAGAATAATACTGCGAGCTCGGTATGGTACTGAACTGCGCTCACACATGCAGCATTCACTGAAGGACATGCACGAATGGCATATATGCAGAACGGTTTCCTGTTGGTATACAAACGTATAAGCTGCGAGTATAAACACAACCGCACAATTTCCAGGTTGCTTGTTATTCTGGGTTTTCATGTGTGGTTCCTTTGCGCACTCGGAAACGAACAAGCCGCGAATACAAAGTTTCTATTCAGTCGAACGCCTCACGTGAAAACAGCCGTCCTACCGCAGGCAGTTAAAATCGATTAACCCTCGAATGTGTCCCCCCCTTCGCTTCTCCCATTTCCGCCCCTCCCCTCCTCCATCGTATCCTGCTTCCTATCGTTTGCGTTTATTTGACGATACCTATATTCACTCCTCTTCATTCGTCCATTCTCCCACCCCTCATTATCCCTCTCTCCACACTCTCTATCTATCTATCTATCTATCTATCTATCTATCTATCTATCTATCTATCTATCTATCTATCTATCTATCTATCTATCTATCTATCTATCTAATCGCGAACTATCTAACCTCTACTCATAATATTCCACACAAACAACTATCTATCTAAATCACGATATATTCTACCCAGGCTTAATTACTATTCCTGCAATACGTACTACCCCGGATGCACCAATCCACCGATAACAAAGTCTCTATATATCGCGTATATTAGTGATACCCTAAAGTTCGAACCTCTCGACGTGCCCGATCCCGTCCCCCTCCGCTCTTATCGTTGGTAATCGACACCGAGCGGTCCCATGCAGCGATACTTCTCCTTAGGCAGACATCTATCACGTATAAATCCACCTTCGAATAAGCACGTCTACACTTACTACGTATATGCCGAATAATATTCGCGGCCTGGCGGACACGTCACTAAATTAAAGGCAACCCCTGCGCGTCCAACCCACGTCCTTACATCACCAGCAACAAATATATATCACCTCTTCGGTCCTCTCATTTTTCTATCCCCGCCACTTTTGCAAGCAAGTGCGTCATCCGTTATCAGTGAGATCATGGGTCGTGCGGGGTTTAATCGACTTGGGTCTTCACGTGCGCCTCATTCAATCACTCCTCCCCACGTGGAGCGAAGCGTGACGGTGTGATCGGGTTGCAACCATAGCGCGGAAGTAAACAAGCCTGGGCGGGGCATCTTCTGCCACAAGCATGAAGATCTCAGGCACCATGCATCGATCCTCCTTACAAATGCATCCTTCCCGTCTGCCCTGACCTGAAAATCGGCATCCATCATTTATGTATGTAATTTCTGCAGATTCACTACTCCTCTGTCAGGCGTTCATTGAGGCTGATGCATCAGCGAAACACGTGTCATGCGTGGAAATCTGCATAATCGGAATGAGTATAGAACAGCGGTAAAACGGCAAACTCGGAAGCCCAGGGCGGTTGCGCGTTATATTCGAGGGCAAAAGTACGCTGCAGAATATAGACGAGTCAGTAAATGGATATATATTCACGAGATAGCGCAACGGAACGCTAATTAAAAAGATATAGGCTACTGCTAA